GCCCTTATAATTCCTTTCAACTATGTTTAATGTGCTAAATAGTGCATTTTGATAATATGAGGCATGAATGATGATGTTTACGTATGTAAGGATTTTTCATGATTTTTTTAAATTTTTTTGGGCCTTATATTTAATGTTTTGATCGTATCTACCGATACCACACCACGATCGATGAATCCCAATGCCTTCTGAATCGGGGACCGATACCGCGACTTTGAACCATGTTCCACCCTCCCATGCTCAGCTATTTAACCACTGTCTGTGAATTAATATGTAATGATGAACAGGATTTTTTTAAGTAACCACAACACTTACAAAAGTCCCAAATCCAAGAACTAAAACGGGTTGTGAATTCTTAAGTGAGAACCCAAAAGCCAAAGTGGGAGATAAATTACACACAAAGTGAATCTCCTGTTAATAAGTAATCATGTCAGCTAAAGCTTTTATCTTCCATCACCATCTTTCTGCTCTCACTTATGATGTATGTACCCATCAGCACGATGAGACTCTTTATGAGGTTGGATAGCTTCTCACAACTTACTATCTTACAAGATACCTTGTACAAGAAAGGCTACTCTTTATTATTACTAAGGTGTCTTTCACCCGAAGAAGCTAACTACGCCCTCCGGGAGATCCATGAAGGGATTTCTGGTAATCACTCTAGAGGACACCCTTGCCCACAAGGCAATCAAAAAGGGCCCTAATGTTACCCCCTTAGTTCTTGGCTCGGTATTATCGTGGGACAACCTAGCCCAAAGGCGCCCATGCTTAGCCAAATTGGGGTTTCGCTTGAGGAAACAAGCCCTTGGTGCAATTAGTGGGTGATTGAAAACCTATCCATGGCTGAGGATGGCAGCTCATGCATGGACACGAGTTGGTGCAATCAATGGAATTGAAGCCCCATGCATGGCTGGGCATAGCAGCTAATGCATGGACACGTGGGCACAAGCAGGCTTACAAGCAAAGGCTAGTTAGGTGACTTAATTTGTAGGGCAAGGCTAGCTTAGAACACTAAGCCATGGACTGGGCATGGCTAGGCACGAAGGCAAGACTAATCAGGTGCTGAGGGCTCGCAAGGAAGGTGGTTCTAAACAGTTGTGACATATGCCCTGCAGATGGCGGCGGTTCTAGACAGTTGCTTTCATGTGCATGGCATGCAGGGGCTGTTATGTGCAAAATGCTGGCATGTGCACAATATGAGGGTTTCTGGCATGTGCACTGCAGTTGAGGGCAGTTGTTGGTTGTGTCAGCCAACAGTTACAACTGCCCCTCACCATGACCAACAGATGTGGGGGGAGGACCTGAACATCATCATATAGACTAAACGGTGGCTTTGTGGGCATATCTGAATTGCCTTGCAATTGCCTAGGCGGTTGGACTTGTAACTGCCATCCTGTATGCTATAAATATAGGTGTTGGGGTTTGCAGTGTAACAACAGAGTGTTGGGCACATTTTTTAAGCAAACCCTGGCTAAGAGTTTCCTTAGTCTTTATTGAGAAAGAAAGGTTTGGCTTGTTGGCCTGTAAAGCTTGTTTGCTATGTGCGTGAGTTTGCTTGCTTGTCCCTACTTTGTTCTCTATGCATTCTGTGAGCGACTTTGAGTACTTGGCTGCGACTGAATGTTGGATCTCAGTGCCATCATGAGGCCAAAATTTGGTGAGAAATTTAACCCCGTGACACCTAGCGAGGTGAGGGACGCCTAAGAGTTCCCTAGAAAGTGTGGCAAGTGTCAGCATTTTGCCATCCTGCCCAGGCAGCCGCCAGACGAGTTGACAGTCATCACAAGTCCGTGGCCTTTTTCCAAATGGGGTATCAACATCTTAGGCCCTTTACCCCTGAGCAGAGGACAATACAAGTTTGTAGTGGTCGATGTCGACTACTTCACAAAGTGGGCAGAGGTCGACCCCCTGGCAAAGATACCAGACTTGAAGGTTAAAGATTTTATCTGAAAAAATTTGGTCTGCCGCTTCGGGATACCCCATGCCATTATCAGCGACAACGCCAAACAGTTTAACAACAAGCTCCTAAATTCCTTCTGCTCCGACCTTCAGATAAAGCAGCCTCATTCCAACCCAGCACACCCGCAAACAAATGGGCAAACAGAAGTCATGGTGAAAATAGTGCTACACAACTTAAAGACAAGGCTCAAAAGAGCGAAGGGTTTTTGGATTGACGAGCTCCCAAGAGTATTATGAGCCTACCGAAACACGCCAAGAGCTCCAACAGGAGAAACCCCTTTTTCCCTCGCCTTCAGAACTAAGGTTGTTATCCTTGTAGAGATTGGGGTCCATTCTCTAAGGGTCCAACACTACGACCCAATCACCAATGAGGAAGGACTTCGCATCAACCTCGACCTGGTAGAAGAGGCAAGGGAGATGGCTGTGATCCGCAATACGAAATACAAGCGACGCATGGCAAAGCACTACAACTCGAGGGTGAAGCCTCGTTCCTTCCAACCAGGAGACTTGGTCCTCAAAAAAGTAATTCTCGCCGCAAAGGATTCACGCGAAGAAAAATTGGGAACAAATTGGGAAAGACCCTACCTCATAACAAAAATGGTGAGGTCAGGCACCTACAAGATCCAGAATTTCAAGGGGAAAGTCTTACCCCATCTATGGAACGCTGAGCAATTGAAGAGGTACTACCAATGACACCCCAAGAAAGTAGAAAAGTTGGAAAACTTGATTTTATTTTTTGTACTTTTTGGAGCTATTACCCGATATTGCTTGACAAAAGTAGTGAATGAATAAACTTTCTAGATTTACTCCAACAAAAATCTTTGCATTTTTGTATTTCAAAGGAGCATCAGTGGCTAAAAAACCTTTTTTACAAAAGTAAGGCTACAAACTACCTATCTAAAAAAAAAAATCATAAGTCCCTAGCACTCTAACTACTCTCATAGTCATCCCTCTCTTCATCTTTCTCATCATCCTCAACATTATCAGAGCCTCCATCACTATCATCAGGTGCCTCAAATGACAAGAAGCCTAAAATATCAATATCAAGAAAAGCAACAAAAATCTTTCCTCGGAGCTCCTCATAACTGTCAATAAAGGAATCAGCAAGGCCATTCTCCAAATCACTTTCAGCTATGACAGCCCGAGAAGCTTTCTCATGAGCTGCCTTCACCTCTACCTCTACAGCAGCCACTCTGAGCATAGCCTGCTCACGGGGTCTCCACAAGCTCAGCCTCTGAGCACGGCCCTCTCACGGGCCTCCACAAGCTCAGCCTTTCTGAGCGCGTTCCTCTCACGGGTCGTCGCAAGCTCAGCCTCGAGCTCGACTGCCCTCTCATGAGTCTTCGAAAGCTCAGTCTCAAGCTTAGTCACCCTCTCACGGGTCGCCACAAGTTCAGCCTCAAATGTCCTATCAGCAGCTTCAAGCTCGGCAATCTTCCCCTGAGCAATAAGGAGCTCCTTTTGCACGACTTCATGATTCTGCTTTAGCTAGTCATGAAAATAGGCCCTTGAAAGTAAACACATTAGATGTAGTAGAAGCCTGAAGAAAGATAAAAATCAAAAGAGTGTCAGAAGCTTAAGAAAGGACTGGAGAAAGGGAGACGATAGACCCTTACCTGAGCCAGGCCTTCCAAAACAGAGCTGATGATTCCCTCAGTGTCCAAAGCACTAATCTCGCTAACATCGTTGGGAAACACAAACTTCCCAAGTCGATCATTTATGACTGGCGCGTTACACAACATGGAGCTGATCTGAATCGGTTCCCTTCTGGAAGTTCCCACAAGAAGAGTGGATAAACGGGGGGCCGAAGGTGTGACCAACAAGGGGGACTCTAGAGTAGGAGATGCAACTGAAGGAGTCTCCGACTGAGAAGGCACCACTAGAAGGGTCACTTGATAGGAGCACGCCAGAGGTACCACTGGAGGGTTGCTTGAGGAGAGCACACCTCGGGTGGCATCATCGGAGAGGTCACTAGAGAGGCATCGCCAATCCTGGCCACCTAAAGAGGACGAGGGCTCCTACCAGAGAGACAAGACTCAATCACCTTTCTATCTACTGCTGCAAAGGAAATAAAGGGTTATATAGATGAAAAACACCAAGTTAAGAGGAAAAGTATAGGAGAATCAACATACTCTTTCTTTTTAAAGAGGATCCCAGAGAGGGTCCACCAGCCCCACCACTGTCTTTGGACATAATAACCCCAACATCTTTTTCAGGATGAGCCCTCATGCCCTGCAACTTCCATTCTTGGTCCTTGGAGAACACAGGAGAATCTGCAAGAGGCATAATGAGTAAAATATTTAAAAAAAAAAAAAGACGCAAAGGAGAGAAAGTAAGTGTAGGGTGTACCAAGTTTCTTAGGAGCACCCCATCTTGTTGGTACCAAAGCCCTATCGGCCTCCACAACCCACTCTCCCCCAACAAATATAAAGCAAAACTTTCAGCTATAACAGTTTGAGCACAATCCGGTAATTAACTTGTCTCTCGTAGTAAAGTAGTAACAGCCCCGATTAGGAGCAGGAGTCTCGCTCAAAGTATAAGAAGCTGCATGAAACTCGACAGGAGAGGCATTCTCATGATGCACCTTCCTCCACAATACCAGAGAGCACAGCAAAACCCTCCAACCATTGGGCAATAACCGCCCTAGTAAGAGTAAAAAATAATAGAGAATACGGCAAATAGAAGAAGACATGGAGAACCTAAGCCCAACCTCAAGCATCTCCTCATAGATGACAATGTCACCAGAGGAATTATCACAAGCAGGCTCACCCATCTCAGCCCGACGGCACAGCATAGTTGGAAGAACGTGGTAGGCAAAGACAATCCAAAAAATATCGACATCTGTATTTAAAGTGCAAGAAATAGTACTCATTTTAGACCCATCATCATCAAGGGCTACCTTTCCTCGATGCTTTTTGTTGCAAGGGCATGAAGAGTTATCTAAGCCACTACCGAAGAGGCCCTAACAAGTCTAATTTTGAGAAATTCCACTTGAAAGAGCCGAGTCATCATTACTCTACCTAGAACCAGGCTCGCTAACTCTATGCCCAGCCTCTACCGCCAAGGGGAACTTGCCCAAACTGACTGATGGGCCCAGTGCCAAGGGAGGCACGCCAACCTACAGGTACGCCTCGCCCAAACCCCCTTTGGCACGCCCACCAACTCCCGTCGTCAAGACAGCCTCGCCAAGTGCCCTCTCCCTCGCGCAAACAGTGGTTGTTGTCTTGTCCAACTTACCAATCACGTGGGCTGCTCACCCATGGGCAGCCTCACCAATCACATAGGTTGCTCGCTCATCGTTGCTCCGGCCAAATCCCAACCGCCCATCTCCACTTCACGTCATCTGGGTTGCTCACCCATCACCACCACACCCCTAACGTGAGCAGGCTGCTCGCCCAATCTCCCCAAGACCCCAAAGGCCCCCTGCTCGCCAGCCGCTTGAACTAATCGCCCCTTCCCAACTACGCGAGCAGGCTGCTCGCCCAAGCTCCTCAAGTCTGATTTCGAGAAATTCCACTTGAAGGAGCCGAGTCATCACTACTCTACCTAGAACCAAGCTCGCTAAGTCCGTGCCTAGCCTCTACCGCCAAGGGGAACTTGCCCAAACTGACTGATGGGCTCAGTGCCAAGGGAGGCACGCCCACCTGCAGGTACGCCTCACCCAAACCCCCTTTGGCACGCCCACCAACTCCCGTCGTCACGACAGCCTCGCGCAGACAGTGGTTGTCCCTCGCGCAAACAGTGGTTGTTGTCTTGTCCAGCTTGCCAATCACGTGGGCTGCTCACCCATGGGCAGCCTTGCCAATCACATAGGTTGCTCACTCATCGTTGCTCTGGCAAGATCCCAACCGCCCATCTCCACTCCACGTCATCTGGGTTGCTCGCCCATCACCACCACACCCCTAACGCGAGTAGGCTGCTCACCCAATCTCCCCAAGACCCCCAAGGCCCCTGCTCGCCTGTCGCTTGAACTAATCGCCCCTTCCCACCTACGCGAGCAGGCTGCTCGCCCAAGCTCCTCAAGTCAGCGCCCAAATCGGCGCCCAAGGCCCCATGCTCACCCAAGCTGCCCAATGCCTCCTTCATCACCCAAGACCTTGCACCTTCAACTAAAACAGTGGGCTCACCTACTATCGACGCCCCCACCACGGACAACCCCATGGACGCTCGAGCAGTGATGACAACGGACGCCCCTGGTACCACCACAACGCCTAGTTCCTCCTCCTCTTCTCCAGGAACCACAAAAATTTCTCCTGGCTCTCCACCAAGATCCCCAAGCTCCTCTCCAGTCAACATTGATTGAAGTGCTCAACTTCAAAAAGTTTCACCTATACATTCTTGGAGAATTTCAAGAAGGACTCTCTTTCTCACTCAAGGTTGTGTGGAATGGGTAAAATATCCTCTCTCAAAATTATATGAAATGGGCAAAATGAAGGAAAAGTTTTCTATTTATAGACGAGAATTTCTTAAAATCAAGGAAAGTAAAAAGCCCCAAATTTATAACTAGGATTCTTCCAAAATCCAAAAAAGAGGGTAAAAAGTGGAATTTATATAGCTAATGGAGTCCCTTTGGCAAAAAGAGTCTTCTGGAAGGGAGGGAGTCGCCAATGAAAGGAGTTTTTAAAAAATTCGGATTTAAAAAGGTCTGATCATTATTTTGACCGTAACTTTGCTCCGTAACTCCAAACGACGCCCATAATATGTAAAATCGAAACTCTCAGCGAGCTCTACAATACTCACCGCCTACAGTCGTGATAGTCGCCATTAAAAGCCCAAAAAAGGCCTAGAAGCATTTGTTTTGGCCTCCCGAAGTTTTTTCAATAATGCCTTCAACAGAAAATTCAAACTCAATCGAATGCCCTCCTCTCCAACTTCCATTAGACGAAGGGCATTCAGGGGCAAATGATAGGTCAAACCCAAGGGCCCAACTCATATTATGATCTCAGTCCGAATTAATAGCCCAACTCCAGCAGGTCCAGCAAGTCAAGTCCAAAGTGCTCCACGCCCGGTCAAGATTATCAGGTTCAAGGAACTACGTCAGTAGGGGAGCATGCAAAGTCATCCAAGAGTCTCATTATCGCCACCTTGAAAACAGTCAATTCTCACCTCATCCTTTGACCAAATCTCATGGAGAGCACCGTAACCGCTTCGCCCGTTGAGAAGAGGTCGCTAGATCCAATAGACTAATCAACTAGTTACTAATATCTCGCCCAAATCTGTTAGGAAGGTGACTATAAATTGTAAGCCCTACCAACACTTGGGGGGCATCACACTCTGTCGAGCACAACTCTCCTCTCCCTCTCTAAGATTGTAAATTTCTGTTCTCCCTATACCCTTGAAGTAATAAAGTACTCGACAACTTTAGCCATTCAAAATGGAAGTAAATCACATTGACCGAATCACTATAACCCTTGTCTCACCTCGCTTATTATCTCTTTCTACTTTAATTACAGTGTTTATTACTGTTCAATTATCAGGTAGTGTATAATCCCAATTTGTGCATCATCATATATAAAATCAAAATCATGAATAAAATTCAATAAGCAAAAAATAAGGTACATGTATATGGCATATTATACAAACCTTGTTCGATTTCGAACTCCTCGAACTCGTCATCGTCTTCAAACAGGTCGATCTTTGCATATTCAGTCGCCACCTTGGGTTGCTCTATTGCCATTTGGAACTCTCACACAAAACCTAAAGTGAGAACACCAAACAAATTTCAGAGAGAAAGTTAGATTTCTAATCGGAACGTAAACCCTAAATCTGCTCAATGAATAGTATATATATGCACTTATGTAGGTACATATCAACATAATACACACTTTTCAAAGATAATCAAACGAAGCAACTTACAGTTTATCTAGAGAAATTCTGTAGAAGATTTGTTTCTTGTTTTGATCAAGGAACCCTAGACTGTTCTGGCGGAGAGAGGAGGATTTATAGTCGCAAGAAATCTGAGCAGGTGGGGAACTTTCCACTGATCACACGACGTCGTTTCTACTTCTCTTTTTTTTCCTTTTTCCTTTTCTTAAATACTTTTTTTTTTTTCTTTGGAGGGGGAGCAAGCATGATACTTCCATTACTTTGACGCAAATAAACAAGAATAATTACCAATAAGTTGCCATATTTATCTTAGGATAAGTAAATACTACTTTTGATAATTAATTTCTAAAAATTACTATATTGATATACTAGCGTCCAACCCCGTGCAAATGCACTAGTCCTCCCATTCCCCTCTTAGTTCTCTTTCGTCATTTACTCTCTTTCACCTATTATGTTATAAGTTAGTAAAAATATTATAAGAATTATTAAATTACAAAAAAATGATGTTTAAAATCTTTTTAAATGAGTGGTGGTTAGAGAGAATTTATGAGTAATTATTTAGGGTAGTTATTGAAGACACGTGATGGAATATAATTGGAGAATGAAAATTTTAATAATTTATTGTCTTTGAAAATTAACAAAGTAAGGGAAGATTTCTCAAGCTCTCTTTCAAAGAAATTAATTATTTTATAAATTTAGTATAGATTTTATTCTAATTTTATCCGTTTCATGGACGCAAATTAAATGTTTGTTAATATAAGAATGGTTGGATTGATCGGTTTCTCGGGGAAAAAACAATCTTTTCACGATCCTACTTGTTGAGAGACAAGAAGTACACTGATATAGAGCACAATTTAAAAGTGTCTAGAATAGGGCATAAATAATAGTTCGACTCGATTATGAGCTCTACCGATACAAATACTTCTCCTAAATAGGGCATAAATAATAGAAAATACTTTGGATCTCAAATGTTATCCCTAAAAGAAGGATCCTTGGATGAATGGATCAAATTAATTTTTCCAAAAGACCCATTGATGCAACGGTCCCTATCAATTTAGGATGCCTGGACCTGAGATGCATAATCCTTTTTTCGTTTTTTTTTTTTCAGACAGGCATTAGACTTCTCTTTTGGACAGTGATGATGAACCATCCCTTTGAATAATCGGAATAAAATGAAAGTTTCCAATTTCTAATCAAAGACCAAGTGCTCATTCTTAAGTTATAAATCCAGAAGTTACAGAATACTCATATTCGTAGAAACTCATTGGACGTGGGTGTCTTGCCAATCATAAATCAGTAGGTGACATATCACAGTGAGTAAATATGTCCTCCAAGTTCTTATAGGCCGAGACCGAATGACAAACGAGGAGGAATGCATCACAGAGGAATGAAGAGGTGCACAATTGATGCCGAGGATTAATTGTCCTTGGAAAGTGTGCCTCATGCAGAGTGTTGACGTGATGAACGATCATTATCTTATCACATCAATTTTGAACTCGTATGAAATTGCCAGAAAGAGAGGCATGACCCTTTGCTGACAGAGTGTAGCACTTGGAGGATCAAATTAAATTTACAGCTCGAAACCATAAAAGCTCGATGACAAGTCGTGAGTATACAATATAGAGCACTTAATGTTCGAGATGACTCAATGCTCGAGGGGCGAGAAGTCATAAATGCTCGGCATCCCGAGCATTAGAGTTATGATTGCACTCCATCATCAAGCATTAATAAAACATAATAGGGCACACTTATTTAGTGGTTTAAAGATAGGAGATCCGCTGATATGATGGCTTTCTTGAAGGGGTTCCAGTTGTAGACCGTCAAACCTAAACTTTAAACACTCAAATGATTGTCACGTCATCATATTTTACAATATAAATATCTCAACAAAATAGAACACAAAGATCAAGTATGCACGCTGAATCAATTTTGTACTGTACACTTATCTTCTCATTCTTAAGCACCGATTGACTTAAATATCAGAGAGGATAAATTGACACATCCCCGAACCCTTTCTGACTTCTTTCCTTATTTCATAAATCTTATCCAAGCTCACCTAGAGATCGCCATATCAAATCATTACAGGAAATCATGGGTGTAGAAACCATTCTTGCACATCATCATCCTCGATAGATGCAAAACGTGCTAAAAAAGAATATTAAATAATGGATATCAAAATATAACACGATCTGATAACCAGATATGAACACAATATAAAATTAAAAAATTTTAGTCTTGCTTAAACTGCTCATTTCATAAATGAGTGGACCTAACACAACACGATTAATAGACGAATCGAGTGTAAGTAAAGTCAATCAAAAGAAATACACANTCCCTTTGAATAATCGGAATAAAATGAAAGTTTCCAATTTCTAATCAAAGACCAAGTGCTCATTCTTAAGTTATAAATCCAGAAGTTACAGAATACTCATATTCGTAGAAACTCATTGGACGTGGGTGTCTTGCCAATCATAAATCAGTAGGTGACATATCACAGTGAGTAAATATGTCCTCCAAGTTCTTATAGGCCGAGACCGAATGACAAACGAGGAGGAATGCATCACAGAGGAATGAAGAGGTGCACAATTGATGCCGAGGATTAATTGTCCTTGGAAAGTGTGCCTCATGCAGAGTGTTGACGTGATGAACGATCATTATCTTATCACATCAATTTTGAACTCGTATGAAATTGCCAGAAAGAGAGGCATGACCCTTTGCTGACAGAGTGTAGCACTTGGAGGATCAAATTAAATTTACAGCTCGAAACCATAAAAGCTCGATGACAAGTCGTGAGTATACAATATAGAGCACTTAATGTTCGAGATGACTCAATGCTCGAGGGGCGAGAAGTCATAAATGCTCGGCATCCCGAGCATTAGAGTTATGATTGCACTCCATCATCAAGCATTAATAAAACATAATAGGGCACACTTATTTAGTGGTTTAAAGATAGGAGATCCGCTGATATGATGGCTTTCTTGAAGGGGTTCCAGTTGTAGACCGTCAAACCTAAACTTTAAACACTCAAATGATTGTCACGTCATCATATTTTACAATATAAATATCTCAACAAAATAGAACACAAAGATCAAGTATGCACGCTGAATCAATTTTGTACTGTACACTTATCTTCTCATTCTTAAGCACCGATTGACTTAAATATCAGAGAGGATAAATTGACACATCCCCGAACCCTTTCTGACTTCTTTCCTTATTTCATAAATCTTATCCAAGCTCACCTAGAGATCGCCATATCAAATCATTACAGGAAATCATGGGTGTAGAAACCATTCTTGCACATCATCATCCTCGATAGATGCAAAACGTGCTAAAAAAGAATATTAAATAATGGATATCAAAATATAACACGATCTGATAACCAGATATGAACACAATATAAAATTAAAAAATTTTAGTCTTGCTTAAACTGCTCATTTCATAAATGAGTGGACCTAACACAACACGATTAATAGACGAATCGAGTGTAAGTAAAGTCAATCAAAAGAAATACACAACACTACTTATTTATATACCAGTTATATATGATTCATAAACGATATGAATTCGATCATTAAACATAAATTAATAAACAAATCAAACATGAGTGGAATATTTTTAACACAAACCACCAATACCACGAACTCACCTCAAGACCCACGATTGATAAGCCTACTCAACAGACACCGAATGTGATAAAGAACCAAAGAAGAAACAACTCATCTTGTTTAAGCACTCGCTATCTAGTATATATTACATCAGAAAAATCCAAATACAAACGTATAGTATTATTACTCCAAAAGCAATGGCTTCTGTCGTATTAGCTCCTGAATAAAAAGTTGAGCTAATATCATAAAATTAACCTGTATGGCAGTATGGGGAGAAAAAATAAATTACAAACTGAAAATATGTACAAAATGAACTGTGTGAAAGAAAATTGTTGACTCTCTATCTCACATGAATGAAAGGTTCTTGTGGAGCTTGATTTGCCATCAGAAGAGAAGAGCTCGTCTCATGGAATTTATGTAGGATCTTCATGAGCGAACGCGCCTTCTTGCTTGCGTGGGAGGTGCCATCGGTCAAAATTGAATACAGTGAAGCCATGAGTGAAGGGTCTTTAGCCAAAACAGCAACCACTTCCACTCCACAATTCAAGCACAATGACAGCAAAATCGAAACACAGTACTCTTTACCCGCTCGAGAAGATGAAGAAGAGTGCAAAATCCCAATAATTGAAGGCACGGACATGGTTTGCTGAATTGTATTTGATCCATCAAAACTATGTGCTAGTGTGGCAAGAACAGCTAATGCATCAGCTGTAAGATCACCCTTGTCTGAAGAAGCTAATATGTCGACTAACAATGGGACTGTCCCAGCTGAAAGCACCCTCTGTTGGTTCTTTGGGTATAGAAGTAGCCCGAAAATAGCTACCACAGCATTCTTTTTCCCACAGGTAGTGCCATCCTTGATCAGCTCCACCAAAGCAGGGATTGTCTCGGGTGTCTCTCCAATCAATTTGCGATACCCATTAACCGAAGACAGGTAAAAGATTGTTGCAGCCGCGATTTGTCTGGATTCCAGCTTTAGTCCATCCTTGAGCACCGAAAGAATCAATTTCAAACCCCTATTTTCAATGATCACTTTCTTGCCACTGGAATGCTTCGAGAGCTTCAATAAAGCTGCAATTGCATTCTCTTGTATGGAATGATCAATTGAAGTTAGCAATGTCAGGAGAGGTGGAATTGTGCCTGCTGCAATCAAGCCAGACCTGTTCAAAATGCTCGATTTTGCGAGCAAACGAATTTCGTAAGCACCCTTGTTTTTCTGTTCATCAGTCCCATTACTCAGCCTATTGGCAAGAAATTCGGCAAGAAATTCTATAGCTCCTGCAGCAGCTGGACTGCCTGCCACAATCGTCCCCGATATGTCACGATTCTTCTTTCTAGATTTAGTAAGAGAAATCCCATTATCGGAACAAAACTGTTGAATAAGCTTTCGAAGACTTGTATTCGGCAGCAATTCTGTGCTTGTTAGCTTTTCCCCTGTTTTGGGACAGAGGAGGTTCCCTGACTTGAGCCATTTCTGAATCGAAGCGCGATCATAAGTCTGGCCAGTCGAAACTGTCACTGGATCAGTCATTAGCTCAAGAGAAATCGGGCACCGAAAATCCTCTGGATTCAAGCAAGTTATCATTTCTGGACTACACGTCCCATCTGCTTGATCAATGTTTCTATAATCAGAGTTTTCAAACAGAGTAACTCTGCAATAACACATCAACCCAACTAAACTGCTCAATAAAGGCATCTCTCTCTCATTATTACTGTTTAAGCACTCTAAACTAATCTCCTCATCCAAGAAGTGGATCTCCTTATGACACTCACTCCAACTTCTAACATCTAGATATTCAAGAACCCGCTTGATAATAATCGGATCCGGCTCAAATCTATTCTCAAATTGATTCAAAATCAGAATCACTCTCTTCATGGCATATTCATCATCTGGGTCAAGCTCCAATCTTGCTTTTCTTGCTTGCTTAGCCACCAACTCTACCAATTCTTTGATTTCATTCGACACATCGATCGAACCCAATGGAAGAACATCGAGAGCTGTCGCCACCGCCCGAATAAACACCCGAAACTGTGTCTCCACGAAATGAGCCTTCATTAAAATCCAAAGCTTGGCACCTTCGCGAGTACAATCTTCCAGCAAGAATAGAATTTTCTGGAATGCGTGGTGGAGCTCAGAGAAACATAGAACAGTAGAATGAGATAACTTAGGACTGTTATCTCGGATTTCCTCGAAGAATATCAGCAGAATCCCAACTTGGCGAATCGTTTCCCTGGCATTTCTCTTCTGGGTTTTAAAGAATTTTGATTGGTAATTGCATATGTTACGCGAGAGATTGATCAAAGATTCGAGAAGGGTCGACGGAGATATGCCCTCGCAGGGATGAACCGCCGGAAATGTCAAAATCCGGCGATCATTCCTATCAAAAATTTGAGTCATTAAATGAATCAGAATGTTGTGTAGCTAATACTCTGTTTTTTGAACATAGAAATGGAATCATACCAATCATGGGCAGTTGGGAATTCAAGTTAATGGGGTGTGTGTAGATATAGACCGTTTTGACAGGAGGATCTTGAGAAAATATCCAATGTAAGCGTGTCACCACCTCATCCGATTGTCCACACTTATAACCAGCTTCGTGGAAAAAAACAGTGACTGTATCAGTTATATCCTGTTAATAATATCACATGGTATAATCGTCCACTAATAAATAAAAAAAATATTAAATAAGCTTAAAATTTTGATTTAAAAATTTAACGTGATGAATTATTATCATTAAATAGATAATAAATATTAATAAAGACAAAAATTTATAGTTTAATCAATAACAAATATAATAATCACATTATCCATTCAATTTCTATGTAGCATCGCTTTATAAATAAACAAGTTAGCATATGAGCCCCACTAAACCATATAACCACTCAACCATTTAATATATAATTACCTCTATGATAGAAAAGTGGATCTCATTTTATTCATTTTGTTATTTTCTTATTTGAAAATTATACCATGTCAATAATACGGACATATTGATTACCAAAATTTTTATTTTAAGTGATGTGACACTATCGTCATTATTAATTAATCACTATCATTTATTTAATTATAAATTACAGTATTTATTAAGACATATTACTAATTTAATGATTATGATATATTAAATTAAATGGGTAAATCACGTCAGTATTAATAATGTGTCCAATTAATACTATTTTGACCCAATTTATTTTACGTTAATCTAATACATCATAATCATTGAAGTAATAATAAGTCTCTATTAGTGAGTAAATATTCAATGTAACGATAAACCTATATCATCACTATCATGTGATACCATCATTCAATTAAAAAACTAAAAATAGGTAAAACTATCATATCTAAATGGGATTTACTTTATCTATTTATTGTCTTTTAATTAGATGATAATATCATGTGACAATAATAACTAGATATCATCGTTGTAACGAATATTTTCTCCTCCATTAGTAGTGGTGCCCTCTTAGTCCAATAGTAAATAATGATTAATAATCTCAATTATTGAATAAGTAGTAAATTTTAATAAATGTTGAGACTTAAAATGAAATTAATTATTGAAATTATTAAATTTAATTTTTAAATCCACGAGGTATTACTCACGATGATTAGGTCAGGGATAAGAAGCATTCCTAATTGGATACTTTATTCCATCCGGGCTGGCACGTGGCTGGAATCAAGCGTGACTCGATTGCCGCGTGAGACTGAGAGATGATGTATACTTTGGATGGCAACCAGTGTGACACGTGAGAGGGATACCTGTAGAATTCTGATTGGCTGGTGATTGGTGGGTCCTACTGACCGACTTTTGTGTACACGTGGGAAAAATGCATGGGGGTGGCTTGTTGCCTGAGGGTACGGGGAAAGCGCGATGTAAGTTGAAGCAATGTAACCGACAGAGACTTTCGATATTGTATGGCTTTACAAAGATAAACATACTTGGACTTTATGTCATGAATAATTAAAAAATAAAAAATAAAAAAAAATAAAATTTGGTGGCTTTAAGGTGTTAACTAATGAGATAATTAATGATAATGACTCCTATGTTGAATGTTAATTTCAATAATATGATAATTATTTGTCTCGTACCGACATATTTGACACGAATAACTTGATGAGTTGAATCATTCGTGATCAAAATTTACAAAATAGAGATTGTTCTTTGTTTTAGGGCTAAATTCAAATTACAATAAATCCCTCTCTCTCTTTGTCCGTTTATTTGAATTGGTAAATCTCTTTCTCTCTGTATGATTCAAAATGTATATGTCCCGATCTCATAACTCATTTATAAGGTTAAATTAGATTTCAATTTTTACCATGAAGTGTTGTGAAATTTTTTGGGGGCATTTGCGGGCGAATTATATTTTGTACCTTGAAAGATTTTAATATTTGTATTTTATATTTTTAAAAATTAAATTTTGTACATTGCACTTTTAATGTATCAAAAGTGTTGCATTGTGACCGTTCTGTTAGCTTTCCATTAATTTTTTCGTCAGTATTAATGGGTTGATATTTGATAGACAAAATAGCGGAAGTTAACAAAAAGATCACATTATAATACTTTTGATACATAAAATGTGCAATGTAAAAATATAATTTTTAAAAGTGTAAAATAAAAATTTTAAATTGTTTTAAGATGCAAAATGCGAAAATTGTCGACTCTGTCCAATTGATTCGAACTCGACACATACGATTATAAAACTATTATGATTATTAAATACGTATAATAAATAGTCTAAACTAATGTTTAATCCTCCGAATGCACTNTCAATTGATTTGAACTCGACACATACGATTATAAAATTATTATAATTATTAAATACGTATAATAAATAGTCTAAACTAATGTTTAATCCTCCGAATGCACTAAATAAATTTTATTTTTTTGTAAATTTTTATAAAAATATGACACAAAAATATATAACACGCAAATGAGACGAGAAGGGACGACATAACAAGATTGCCACCCTGCCCACGAACAACTTTAATCATCCCAATCAATNAAAATATGACACAAAAGTATATAACACGCAAATGAGACGAGACGAGACGACATAACAAGATTGCCACCCTGCCCACGAACAACTTTAATCATCCCAATCAATGTGATGCAATCAAGAAATAGACAAGAAGGAAAATAATCCCCGGGGGAAACTAAATAATAATGATTAATTAGAGAGAAAGTGAAAGGTTTTAACGTGGACCAATGTCTTTTTGACAAATAGTGCAGGGTTGATGNATGTGATGCAATCAAGAAATAGACAAGAAGGAAAATAATCCCCGGGGGAAACTAAATAATAATGATTAATTAGAGAGAAAGTGAAAGGTTTTAACGTGGACCAATGTCTTTTTGACAAATAGTGCAGGGTTGATGATATCTTTACATCACAATAATATATAAGTTGGTCAATCAAGCCTTGATTACTATGACTTTTTATTTCTTATGGAATAATTAATTAATTCTTCCTTCGATTTTTTATATAAAGATTTTAAAGTAAAGGGTTGGCCTCTAAAGAATNATAATATATAAGTTGGTCAATCAAGCCTTGATTACTATGACTTTTTATTTCTTATCGAATAATTAATTAATTCTTCCTTCGAGTTTTTATATAAAGATTTTAAAGTAAAGGGTTGGCCTCTGAAGAATGATATATATATATATATATATTGTCTGTGTTTAAAGGCACAAAATAATAATAAATAATAAATATATTTATATTTATATTAAAATCACAAATATAGATGAGAGGTAAATGAATTTAAGCATCGATTATACTGAGGGTGAGAGATGGTGGTAGAAAATGGTGATAGTTGTGGTGGGTGGCAATGACCGTGGTGGTGGTGATGGCGGTGGTGGTGGCAGTGATGGTGGCGGCGACGGTGATTGTGGTGTGGCGGTGACAATAGCAGTGATAGTGGCGGTGACGGTGACAGTGGTAGAAATAATGGGTGGGATTGTTTCAAACTCTATTTTTTTTTAAAGTATTTATAAGAAATAATTTCTAGAATTACTTTTAAAAGGTACTCAAAACACACATTTAGAGCCCCTATTTTTTCTATTAAATTTAGGGGATTAATATTAGCCGTTAGATTAACTTTATAATAAAATTTAAAGCGATCTGAATCGCGNATAATATATAAGTTGGTCAATCAAGCCTTGATTACTATGACTTTTTATTTCTTATGGAATAATTAATTAATTCTTCCTTCGATTTTTTATATAAAGATTTTAAAGTAAAGGGTTGGCCTCTAAAGAATGATATATATATATATATANTTATTTCTTATGGAATAATTAATTAATTCTTCCTTCGATTTTTTATATAAAGATTTTAAAGTAAAGGGTTGGCCTCTAAAGAATGATATATATATATATATATCAGTTATTGTCTGTGTTTAAAGGCACAAAATAATAATAAATAATAAATAATAAATATATTTGTATTTATATTAAAATCACAAATATAGATGAGAGGTAAATGAATTTAAGCATCGATTATACTGAGGGTGAGAGATGGTGGTAGGAAATGGTGATGCTTGTGGTGGGTGGCAATGACCGTGGTGGTGGTGATGGTGGCGGCGACGGTGATTGTGGTGTGGCGGTGACAATAGCAATGATAGTGGCGGTGACGATGACAGTGGTAGAAATAATGGGTGGGGCTGTTTCAAACTCTATTTTTTTTTAAAGTATTTATAAGAAATAATTTATAGAATTACTTTTAAAAGGTACTCAAAACACACATTTAGAGCCCCTATTTTTTCTATTAAATTTAGGGTGTTAATATTAGCCGTTAGATTAACTTTATAATAAAATTTAAAGCGATCTGAATCGCGAAAAGTAAAAGTCATTTTGTTTATCTTTTGGAATTTGAATTGTAAGGTACTTTATTATATATACTAGTTATTAACATATTTGTATTCATATTCAAAATTAAATTACAAACATAGAGAAAAAATAAATGAATTTAAGTATCAGTTATAGTAAGGGTGAGAGGTGGTGGGGAGAAGTGGTTGTGGNAAACTCTTTACTTAAAAATATACAATAACAGCTCAAATTGTTTAAATTCAACGATTTATATTACTATTTAATTTTTTAATTTTTTAACCACAATAATTTATTTAAATTTTAACATTTTAATCTTCTGACTTTTATAACCATAGAGAAAACAAAAGAAAGGTAAGCACAAGAAGTCATAAGCAAACCTTGGTAAAGCAACAAGTACTCACAAACTGGTATATAAGTATACTAGCATTAGTCTCGCACTTGAAGATGTATTATAATAGCAAAAATTCAATATTGATCGTTTAATATTTATATTTTAAATAATATTTTATTTATATTTTTTTAATTACCTAATTTAAAATTAAAATAAAGAGTGAGAAAGTAAGAGGGAGGTAAGGGAAAGAGGTAGTGTGAATTAGGGTAGTTTTTTTGGCATTAAAGAGTACATTGATTGAGTTATTTGGCGTTGAAAGTTGTGCTGAGAATATAATATTTTCGAACGGAAAAAAAATTTGAAATGAATTTTATATTATGGAATCAAAGTAGATAAAAAAAGGATCAAACTTGACCATTGAGAATTTGACTAATAATAATATTAGATAGATTATTATAAAGAGGTAATACAAAAATTCCAGCCAGGTTGGATTGGTGAGATTTATTTGGGTAAGTGCACCCTTGTGCNTATTAGATAGATTATTATAAAGAGGTAATACAAAAATTCCAGCCAGGTTGGATTGGTGAGATTTATTTGGGTAAGTGCACCCTTGTGTTTCCAGTGGGTTCCAGTCTACATTTTTGTCCAGTCAACCACCACTGATATGATAATCAGGTGGTTCTTAAGATAATCAGGTGCAACCAGCTGAAGGAATGCTGGTGATTGGGACTAAAAACTTAGTGAAAGCATGTTACAAAAGGATTGATTCTTTTACTTTCAATTTTTGTCAATCAACCATCTACCCTTTTTATNCTTCCAGTGGGTTCCGGTCTACATTTTTGTCCAGTCAACCACCACTGATATGATAATCAGGTGGTTCTTAAGATAATCAGGTGCAACCGGCTGAAGGAATGCTGGTGATTGGGACTAAAAACTTAGTGAAAGCATGTTACAAAAGGATTGATTCTTTTACTTTCAATTTTTGTCAATCAACCATCTACCCTTTTTATGTATTGGGTCCTATTGGATGCCAATCCCCCATAGGAATTAGTGGGACCTAATGAATTTAAAGGTGGTTGATTGAACATTATCGAAATTGAAAATTTTCAAATTGGTGTGTATTCTAATATTTTTAGGGTCAGTTATAAAATCAAAACACGGAACAAATTCTAACTGTCTCTTCTAAAAAAGTACAGAAATGGAGCAAATCGACAAAATTCGGTAGAAATACCCTGTCTATCAAATTCCACCATATGGTAACACAAAATACATTATCAAACTATACCAATGGATACATACACCTGTGGAGCANTTTTCAAATTGGTGTGTATTCTAATATTTTTAGGGTCAGTTATAAAATCAAAACACGGAACAAATTCAAACTGTCTCTTCTAAAAAAGTACAGAAATGGAGCAAATCGACAAAATTCGGTAGAAATACCCTGTCTATCAAATTCCACCATATGGTAACACAAAATACATTATCAAACTATACCAATGGATACATACACCTGTGGAGCATAAAACTGCAAGCAAACAAGTTCCTAGGTGGGAAGTACTTTATTTTCCTTGTTTAATCACAAACTGACATGTATATCCTCTCTTTATTCATTACAGGTANTGTGGAGCATAAAACTGCAAGCAAACAAGTTCCTAGGTGGGAAGTACTTTGTTTTCCTTGTTTAATCACAAACTGACATGTATATCCTCTCTTTATTCATTACAGGTAAAGCACTCAGGACAAGCATGGTGGAAACTTGGATATTCACAACCATGCTGCTTTTTTCAAAGGAGTAACAACAGCTTTCACCTGCAAATAGTTATGGAGGCTGTAGATACCCTTTTCCCTACCAATACCACTCATCTTGTACCCCCCAAAAGGAATTGCAGCATCAAAAACATCGAAGCAATTAACCCAAACAGTCCCAGCTTTCAGTGCCCGTGACAAGGTGTTGGCAGTGTCCACATTCTTGGTAAACACTCCTGCTGCTAGACCATAGCGTGTTGTGTTCGCCCTTTTTATCACTTCATCAAGGTCCCTGCAGGTAGTGGATAAGGCATGAAGTTTTCTGTACAACAAGAAAACACAAATTTTTTTTCCTCTACTAATGGTGATTAAATGAACAAATAGCCCTTGACAGAGCAAAACATCGAAAATGGACTCCTGTAAGTTATAACCAAAACGAAATCGTTACAACAAAATGAAGCATAGGAAAAGGATATAATCATGGAACTTTAACAAAGTTATTGGATTTTCTTGAAAATCTACCACTCACTTGAATTTCAAGATGGACTGCACCGGGCCAAAAATTTCATCCTTTGCTATGAGCATATCATCCTATTTGCCAAAATTGTTAAGAGTCATGTTAGTTCCCCTGATATTTTATACCTTCGGCAGAAGAGACTGAGAATTGGAAGAGAAAATACCTGAACATTCGAGAAAACAGTGGGTTGGATAAAGAAGCCTTTGGAGCCTAGTCGTCCACCTCCACACTCGAGAGTAGCATTGCTTTCAATCCCAGATCTTATGTAACGGAGAACCTTCTCAAATTGCTCTGTATCGATCTGGAATTTCATGAGGTCCACAAACAAATATTAGTCTAGCTCTCAAGATTGGACACGGTTTTAGTTACACTTGAATCAGATGCAAATCAAATGTATGTCTGTTTTAAGAAATGTCTTTTTGTCAATCAGAGAACAGTTTGAATGAGCAACCTTTCATCTATATCACCATTTTTCCATCTTGGAGGGAGAGAGATAGACAGTCATACAGCCTCTCTCTCTCTCTCTCACACACACACACACACAGATCAAAGGAAGAGCACCTGAGGACCTTGTTCCACACCCTTCTTGAAGGGATCACCAACTATACGTTTCATAGCACGTGCTTTTGATTTTTCAATAAACTCATCGTATACACATTCATGCACGTATGTGCGAGAACCAGCACAGCAACATTGGCCCTGGTAGATAATCAGGCATTTGTAATCAAAGTGTTCCATCCATGAAGACAAGCGAAGGGTGAGAAATTGATTAAAAGAACCTGATTAAAGAAAAGAGCAAAATGTGCAAGCTCCACAGCTTTATCAATGTCAGCATCCTCACATACAATAAAAGGTGATTTCCCTCCAAGCTCTAACGTCACTGGCTTCAGATTGCTTTTTGCAGCCAATCCGAGTACAATCTTGCCAGTTTCAGTTGATCCTGTGAAAGCAAGCTGCAAATAGAATCATACATGTCTAAAATCAGAATTGGCAGACAAGTTTGGCCAGAAAAAACATATACAGCAAGGACTACTAGCAGTTTCCTTGATACTCCCAAGCATTCTACTTTTTTTTTTGGTTAAACTCCCAGGAATTCTAAATCAAGCCTCCTTATGCCGATGTCAGCCCCAAAAGAGTGGCAACTACAAGAAATATTTGTTGCACCCCAGCAATAAAAAGAGAGGATTGAATGGATCGGAAGGAATGCTACAAAGGTCATTTTAATCTGTTATCTAAAAGCCAATCAAATCAACCGAGTTCTACCCTTGCAACAGTGGAGCATGTATTGCATTGATTCTGCATCATTATGCATGCTCAATAATCCTCCACTGCTGGAACATCTTATTGTACAAAACGTGGTAGGAGGACATACTCTTTAGCCTCATGTATAGAGAAAACTGAATTAATAAAATTCAAAGAATGGACCAAGGCAGTTCGTTTTTCAGCTAAATTTGCAGGGAAGTATAGGTGGCAATTTGGAATCATCGAGAGCCTTACTCTCTTCTCAGGACAAGCAGCTGCTGGAATCTGCTCCAACTATATATGTTTAGATCATCGACCCTTTGAAAACACCCAGATGGAACTTTGAAAATACAAAAAAGAAAAGATCAAAGACTTCTACTACATTTTCAAGTTCACTATATGTCCTATCCTACTTGGATTTCTTCTATCATAGTTGAAGAAATATCTTGCCCCTAAAAAAAACATATTCAGATTTATGTAATGTACTTCCCGAGCCCTTTGTGAAGAGCTGCAGCCAAAATAAGGCCCGAAATCAGCTAGGCAAACCAGTTTCCAGTGTATCGTTGAGCATGAAGTTAAGGTTATATCAATGCATCCACAACCATGTCAAGTTCATCTACCATAGAATTTATAGGAAGTTTAGAAGATCTAAGTTAAGGACCTTGTCAACATCCATATGACTAGCAAGAGCCGCACCAGCAGTTGGACCAAAGCCAGAAATTATATTTAGAACACCAGGAGGAAGCCCAGCCTATGACAAAGAATGCAGATTAGTTACAAAAAGGATAGCTAAGAGAGAGAAAAAAGAAACATCTAATCAGTTAAAACAGAAAAAGAAATCAAGAAAGCATACAATTTTAAGAACAAGTGTTCCCTTGCTATCAGGCAACTAGTAATAACTTAGTCTTAGGTCCTCCTACATTTTGATGAGTACACTACAAACTTCAATGCCTAAATTATCTCGACACATTTGTAGGCACACAAATAAGTATAAGCAAAGTAATGGGAGAAAAATAATTAGAATTGCAAACAAATCATGAGATTGCGCACAACACCAAACAGAACATAACTCCTTTAAATTACCTCATGGAATAGATTTGCTACATAAAGAGCTGTCAATGGAGTTTGCTCTGCAGTCTTTAGAACAATAGTATTGCCACAAGCAAGTGCAGGTCCAACTTTCCAAGCAAACATGAGAAGAGGAAAGTTCCATGGAATAATCTGTCCTGCTACACCAATTGGTTCATGCAAAGTCTGCACATGGTATGGTCCATCAGCAGGAACCGTTAATCCATGGATTTTGTCTGCCCAACCTGCAGTACACAAAAACATCTTCTATAGAAGATCCATTGAATGTGCAAAAGAAACTGATACTGATCATTTTGAAACAATAAAATTGTACGAGGAAAAGGGATTCCTTCCATTTTACTATTCCTACCAGCATAATAGCGAAATAGACGCGCAAGCATAGGCAATTCAGCTTGGGAAGCCTGTTCATAAGGTTTCCCATTATCCCATGTCTCCAGAGCTGCAAGCTCATCACTGTGTTTCTCAACCAAATCAGCGAATCGCAACATTATTCGTGACCTTTCCTGAAACCCAACAAAGAAACAAGGCAGCAATGATACACAGTGATTTCAAATGATTTCAATCAAAGAAACCATTCACAAGTTAATGTATCAGCAAGTCAAAAACATACAAACAGAAAAAGGAAAGAGAGAAAAAGTTTCTTACATAAGCAGTCATTTTAGGCCAAGGTCCCTCATCGAATGCCTTCCGGGCAGCAGAAACTGCACGATTGATATCCTCCGCATCCCCTTCGGCAACATGGGCAATAACCTCTCCTGTCCGAGGGTCAAAAGTTGGAAATGTTTTTCCTATGATTAACATGGATTCCACCATCAGTTTCGTTTTAGATGTATTATATAAACACTATGCAGTAATAGAGAATGAATTGGATAATGGACTGTCATGTATCAGCAAAGCGTTACCTGATGCTGAGTCCACAAATTTGCCATTGATCAGAAGCTGGGTGTAATTCACCTGAACTGGTGGGATGACTAGTTCCTCTGTCAATGCAGCAGTGCTAAACCTTGGGGTTTCTCTTCTCAAGCTAAAATTTCTTCCTGAAAATTTTATGTTTTACCAAGTCAGAGTCTACTACATCATATCTTAGAAAAAACATAGAATTGTGGAACTTGAGATTGCAATAAGAGGGCTGCCCTGCACTGATTGAGTATAAACAAATAGTTTATTTACTCCATGAAAATAATCCGTTAGCCTCTCTCTCTCTCTCTCTCTATCACACACACACAGATGGAGAGAGAGAGAGAGAGGANTGTTAGCCTCTCTCTCTCTCTCTCTCTCTCTATCACACACACACAGATGGAGAGAGAGAGAGAGAGGATAAGAAATTTACAGCATTAATTCAGATCTCAGTTTGCTTACCAAAATCAAAAAAAAAAAAAATCTTAATTTAAAGTCCTTCAGAAATCATATACTTTGGACATTTTTAATTTCAGGAACAGGGGACAATAACAGAGTCCAGATATCAGCCATATATGCAAACCTGTTTGATAAAAAACTTTCGGTGTTTGCATAACTGACAAGGTTCTCAAATTAGTTAAACAATTTCAAAAAGAAGCAATCAAACCCGAAATCGACATATAATTACACAAGATATAAACTTTTGTTTCCCAACAAAAACACCCACCACCCAAAAAAAAAAGAATAAAAAGAAGAAGAAGAAAAAGAAGAAACAAACAAACAGATATATTAATCCTGTAAACTTGAANTGTTTCCCAACAAAAACACCCACCACCCAAAAAAAAAAGAATAAAAGGAAGAAGAAGAAAAAGAAGAAACAAACAAACAGATATATTAATCCTGTAAACTTGAAATTCGAATTCATAAATGGTCAAACATATATGAAGAAGCATGACAGATGAACCAGACAATTGCAAAAAACCATTTATAGCTTAAACATCCATTTAACACATACAGACATATGTGTTTATATATCTATACATACATGTAACGAACACACAATTATCTACATAGAGAGAGAGAGAGAGTAAACAAGAAGAGGGTGATGAGTGATTACCAAGAGAAGAAGAAGCAGGAGAAAAAGAGTGAGAACGAGAGAGAAAGGAGGAGATTCTACGAGCTGCCATGGCCAAAACTCCTTATCTAAACCAAAGTCATAAAAAGCGAGTGTGTGAGCTCAGTTCAGCTAAGACGGCAAGACCTTTTATGCACAACTCTCTCTCTCTCTCTCTCTCTCTCTCTCTATACATATGTACACACATATATGTATATCCAAATACTTTACCTCTTAAAAATAATTTTTTTTACTTTTTCAAACATGAGTGGAGTGTTATTGATGGGTCACAAATCACAATGTTTGGCTTGAATTACAAAGCAACAGCAACAGGGGATAAAACAAGAAAAAAGGCTAGAGAGATGACAAGCTACACCCAACACTCCACACCAAACGAAGACGAGGATCTCAGCCTTTCTGAATCATCGTCATCATCCCACGCGCTGATATATGGGACCAGTGCCGGCCCTACCCCTAAGCAAGTGGGCGGTTCAGGTATGTTTTATAAAATTATATTAATAAATTAAAAATAAAATAAAAATTAGAATATGTGATAAAATGATCAAAAATATTTTTAAAAAATTATTATTTAAATAAAAAAATATGTACATTAAAAAAAAGAATTGCACAATATTCTTATATAAAAAATTACAAAATTCTATGCTCTTATTTTATATGAATTTACAATAACTCTGACATCCTTATTTAGTTTTATTTCCTTTGACTATACTTTTCGATTTAAGTTGATTTTAATATAATCAATTGCATAATATGTTTATAAGATTTTTGTTACTTTAAATATACTTACTAAACAATATAAATTTAAATATTTAAAATTTTATGCATTTAAAAATAATTTAGTGTCCCGTCTAAAAACTTTGTCAAGGCCGGCCAGCCCTACATGGTGGGAGTGGGACCATCTCTCTCTACTCCTGTCTCCCTCTCTNTCATCTAAAAACTTTGTCAAGGCCGGCCAGCCCTACATGGTGGGAGTGGGACCATCTCTCTCTACTCCTGTCTCCCTCTCTCCTTGATATTTGGGACCTTTTCATGAGAAATTAAGAGATTATCAACTTGATATTCTTTGTTTTTTTTCCCTTCTACAATGTACCCAAGAAAATTTCAATACTAATACCAAAAGCTATTATGTTTAAATGAAAAATNGAGGAGATTCTACGAGCTGCCATGGCCAAAACTCCTTATCTAAACCAAAGTCATATAAAGCGAGTGTGTGAGCTCAGTTCAGCTAAGACGGCAAGACCTTTTATGCACAACTCTCTCTCTCTCTCTATACATATGTACAAACATATATGTACATCCAAATACTTTACCTCTTAAAAATATTTTTTTTTACTGTTTCAAACATGAGTGGAGTGTTTTTGATGGGTCACAAATCACAATGCAACAGCAACAGGGGATAAAACAAGAAAAAAAGGCTAGAGAGATGACAAGCTTGGCTACACCCAACACTCCACACCAAACGAAGACGAGGATCTCAGCCTTTCTGAATCATCGTCATCAGCCCACGCGCTAATATATGGGACCAGTGCCAGCCCTACCCCTAAGCAAGTGGGCGGTTCAGGTATGTTTTATAAAATTATATTAATAAATTAAAAATAAAATAAAAATTAGAATATGTGATAAAATGATCAAAAATATTTTTAAAAAATTATTCTTTAAATAAAAAATATATGTACATTCAAAAAAAAAAATTATACAATATTCTTATATAAAAAATTACAAAATTCTACGCTTTATTTTATATGAATTTACAATAACTCTGACATCCTTATTTAGTTTTATTTCCTTCAACTATACTTTTCAATTTAAGTTGATGTTAATATAATCAATTGCATAATATGTTTATAAGATTTTTGTTACTTTAAATATACTTACTAAACAATATAAATTTAAATATTTAAAATTTTATGCATTTAAAAATAATTTAGTGTCCCGTCTAAAAACTTTGTCTAGGGCCTAGAGTATTTTTGGGCCAGCCATACATGGTGGGAGTGGGACCATCTCTCTCTACTCCTCTCTCCCTCTCTCCTTGATATTTGGGACCTTTTCATGAGAAAATTAAGAGATTATCAACTTGATATTCTTTGTTTTTTTTCCCTTCTACAAAGTACCCAAGAAAATTTCAATACTAATACCAAAAGCTATTATGTTTAAATGAAAAATCACTATTGTTTAAGGTAAGTTATGATCTATGACGAAATATTATGATTCATCGTGAATTATTCCTATTATTTATAATCTTTTTTTATAAGTCTAAATATTTTGTCAATGGTTATGTTATTTAGAGTTGTAATTTGCACTTAAAAATTAAGTTATTTATAACCTTAAAATATCATAATTCTCGATATATATTGTATCTCTTTAGGTACCATAATCTTCCTCATCTGATTATAGTTGATAAACAAAAAATTTATATAAGCTTTTTGCGAGTATATGATAATTAATGACTATCTAATTAATCTTTTGGATTCTAAAAAATTGGAGTGGAGAGGGAAGCGAAGCTTAATTAGCTTCGACCACTACATATAAGCTGCCATTAGAACAAGCTTTTAATTTTTCTTTTTAATAATTTTTTGGGTAAGTAAGTTTTTCAATTGTTGAGTGTGTGTTTTGAGCTATGTTCGATGGTTATTCCTTTTTTATGTTTGAATTATGTCCACAAGTTATTCATTTTTTCTAGTATACATAGTTTTTTTAGGCAAATTTAACCACCTACCTATTGAAAAATTTGGGCAACCAAATCACTTCCCAAGATTAATGGCTGTAGTTCTCAAGTGTTTACTAGACATGATAAAGAAAGTCAAAAAGAAAGAAAAAAAGGTTTTCACTTAAAGCGTGCTATCGTTGATTGATGGAGTGAATGACATGAAAAGACTTGGTTGCAAAAAATAATGATGTTGGAATAATATCTCTCTCTTGTGGTTTATATTAATGCTAGCTAGGGTCTATTTCATCTCAAAACAATACTAAATTAGGTATGTTTTATTGTAATATTATTTGGTTTTAAAAATTTGACATCATTTATTAATTTAATGATGTAATTTTATTAAAATTATTAGATCAATATTAAATTTTAATGTTTAATGAAATTCATAATCAATTCTAAAATTATAATAAATTAAGTCAATAAAATAAATTAATAAATTAGATGCTAATAGTATTGCTCAAATAAATAAAGCAAATGTTATCAAAAAGATTTGACAAAGGTGATGTCAACTTTAGTAGGTCATATGGTACATTGTAAGGAGGGTTAAGTTAATATTAATTTTGGTTCATCTCAATCTCTCGCATTACAATTTAAATCCCACATATTTTACTCTTTTGGCAGAATTATCAAACTTTCACAATTTTAGTCTAAACTCGTCATTGACTTTTAGATTCATGCAACAACAGGAGCTATGTCACACACCCCACTCTGGATCATGTAGGGTGGGCATTACATTGACCATCAAGACCTTAACCAATCAATCTCGTCCCAGATAAATTATCCATCTCAGAGTGTTCACCCACCCCTCGGGAATGATCGGTGTGGTAGTTAGGCATCCTCAGATGAAAGAGTTATCTTTCAAGATTTGGTCGTTGTGTGCCACCACCTCCCACCTATTCTCCACAATCGATCAAGATTGTCACTGAGAGTTAAGGTGCACAAAGTTTTACCGTCTAGCCAATAAATACAAAGTATAGTGAAAGAGAAACAATAAAGTGATTCATTTCATATACCTAATGAATACCGGAAGAATGAACTATATATCATTCAACATCATTACCAATTTATAAGTAAATTCATAATCAAACCACAAGGTTTACAAACTCCACATTTAAATAACATTACTCTCAAGAAAATTTAATTATTATCTCAAAATCATAAGTGGTACTTAGTCTTAGAACACATACAATAGAATAAATTTTCAAGTCTTCTGAGCCCTTGTTTGTCCTCACACTGATCTTTACTTGAAAAATATTAAATATTGTATAAGCATAACGGCCCGTGAGTAACAACCACCTCAAATGAGGTATGAAAATATGTCCCATAATTTATATCCAAACAAATATATTTTGATACATACATAAATACAAGAAATTATACCCCAAACCCACATAATATTTTAATAAAAATGATCTCATTTTCACATAAAACTTTACAATAGAAAGGCGTTTATAACTCACACACCCATACACACTTAATTCAAAATATAATTGTCACTCATAGTCTCATGGTTAGAACTCATCTCACTTTTTGTTACTATTAGCGTGATAACTGGCCCCATAAATATTATTTGTCGTCACTAACTTGATGGCTTAATCCTATGTGCACATCCTTATACCAGTCGTATCGATATCCCTTCAATCTCATTATCACTTATACTTGGCAACCTAACCCCAGTTCATAAAACATGGTTTTAACACATAAAAACTATTATTTTAATCTCAAGGCACACAAAAAATTTCTTTTATCACCAAAATTATATTTTAGCAATAACATAAAGTCATCCACACATTCAAAGTTAAAATGTATAACCAATTAGAATTGGAAACAATAAACTATAAAACATTTAATTCCAACCCCAAATATCATAGCATATATATGAAATATTCACACACACACACACCCCATAAGTTTAATATAGAAAATTCTCTCAAAAGAAGTAGTAAATTATTTTCTTGGTCCCCGAATTCTAATTCAAAACCCCCTATCTCAATGTCAATGTAATGATCGGTCCCTTTTTTTGACTTTGTAATTTTGCGATGCAATATTTTTATTTTTATATTTCCTATCCATTGACATATATTTTATATATCATTGACATAGAAATAATTTTTTTAATATGAGATAATAGGGTATGGATGTAACTTGGGTAATTTAAAAAAGTTTTTAAAGTTCTAAGGTTAAATCATAATTTTTGTGATCGAAGTGTAATTTCTTTGAAAAATGATTTTTTTTTGCTTAAGGGACTTCTATAAAATTTCCAAATATTATTTAAGATTATGTAGACCTATTTTTGACATTATAACCTTGATTTGACTCATTATGGTTAAACCATGATTTTTAAAAATATAACCAAATTTTTTTAAGACTGTTTTAAAATTTNTTGATGGGACTTCTATAAAATTTCCAAATATTATTTAAGATTATGTAGACCTATTTTTGACATTATAACCTTGATTTGACTCATTATGGTTAAACCATGATTTTTAAAAATATAACCAAATTTTTTTAAGACTGTTTTAAAATTTTAGAAACTTTTCAAGCCTCGAGGGTTGTTTTGTAATGATAAAGTTTGTTTCAAAACTATTGGGGTCTATTCTTGAAAATTACTTAGTAAAAAAGTGGTTAAAATTAAATTTATAATATAATATAGGAGTCAAAATAAAATTCTTTAAAATCAAATGTGAGATTTCTATAATTTTAGAGATTCCATATTCTTCACCCTCAGAACCTCCGGCTTTCTTCCTTCTTTGGTTTTTTATTTATTTTAACAGATTGATTAAATTATTTAAAAGCCTCAAAATCAACAAATTTAAATAAAGTCTAATAACACCAAGAATAAACAACTTGTAATAAAATTCATTTACATATCCATCGATATTTCTCACCATATATATATATATATATATATATTCATTATATACTAAACTATGATAAATTTAATAGCATGTAATGAAATAAAATATAAAACTCATCGAATCGAATGAGTAATAAATCCATATCCAACTATTTTTTTTTCTCACCATCTTTTTCTATTTCCTCTCTCTCTACTTCATGGATGTATTCCANTGTGGGTGGCGGCTACTTCATGGATGTATTCCAAGGTATTTGGACTTATGTAGAAGATTTTTCTTTTTCCACCTTCTGGCTCTCTCTGTCTCTCTCTCTGTATGTGGCTGACGGCTACTTCTTGGATGTATTCCAAGGTATTTGGACCAAGGTAGAAGAGTTTATATTGTGCAGTGATCCCCCATCTTTTGACTAGTGTATTGTATAAAAAATTACGAAGCTGCCCTCAGTTAGATGAAATTAGAAATTAACCCCCATCTATACTTTGGTAGTTAATATTATCATGTATGTATATCCATCCCATCTTGGACCATGCTGGCAAGTACTGATCACGATAAGGCTGATCCTGAAATATTGTCCATATAAATCCACTGCGAAGCAACATATCAATCAGTGTCAATAGATAATACAGGCTACAATCTAGACCTTGCTACAAATAGGAAATTCAAATATGAGGCAGTCAGTCCACCCCTCTATTACCCATTTAACATTTTAAAGCCATTTTGTATTATTAAACAACGCTAATCCGTTTTGAAAGGTACGATACAATGTAAATGATTTCGAAAGGAATGTTGATAGTCGTTAAATGAGTGACATTAGTCTAATTCATGGACAGCCCAACATATTTGCGGGCCCTAGACAAAAATTTTAAATTAAGTCCTATTAATATATTTTATAATAATATAAATAATTGACAACAATTAAATTATTTATTTATTTTTTCTTTTGTGAGATTCAAAAATATTAATTGAAATTTTAAATTCAAGTTTTATACATTAAAATTTAATTAACAAAAGTCGAATCCTCAACCAAATATAATTAAGTTAATTTTCTATTGGAGATAAGGAGAAAGAGAATGAAAATTTAAACTACCTGACAAAATAAATTTTTTCAGAACAAATGTAAAAGTTAAAATTTGTGTAAGTTAAATGGTATTGGAATATAAGAAACATGTTTTAATATGACACAGAACCAAAGAAATGTTGTAACTGAAAAATTTTAGTAAGACAATTATGGTCATTTTTATACGCTTTAAAAAATAATTAATTAAAAATCTACCCTAAATTTAAAGTAACTTCAAATTTAATCTAAAAAAAATATAAAGTTATAATTTATAACTATTAGTTGATAGACAATGAATTACACAGTTTTTTTTTTTTGATAATAAGATAGAAAAATATTTTATTAGGTGATAACACATATTTTTTATATACCATAAACATTGCCCTAAATATTTTTGTAAGAAATTCTAAAAATTTTATAATACTATTACTTGTATTTAATCTAGGGGTCTAATTTTGACACTTAGTAAATTATGCTCATTTGATTATTAGTAAACTTATTCAATGGTAATTTTTCTTACTAATTTAATGGTCAAAATGCATTAAATTCTCAAATTAAATCCAAAAATTAAGTCTAGTAAAATTATACAAAAATTTAATTTGGGGCCCCAAAATTTTTGTCCCATTTGGTGGCCCTAGGCAATGGCCTTAATGGCCTAGTGCATGGGCCGACGATGGCCTAATTAAGACATTCGAATAAACTTGTTGAACCATGTATTGTTTATATTAAAGTTGCAAACTTTTGAAATGTGTATTTTACTCCGGGCTGCTACACAAAAGGATGAAATAAACAGAAATTAGCATTGGCATTGTTTCTTCTCTCCTTTTTTGGCAAATACATTTTTTTTTACTAAACCAAGAGGAACAATGAGGCATGACTGAAAAAATTCATACCACTGCATGTATCAGCAAGTCTGGGACTAGTTATGGTCACAAACTGCTGTATATTTCTTGACAGGTTATGATGCATATATACATTCAAAATTTTCATTGTTTTTCTAATTCTATAGCCACAGAAAAATTGATACAAACGACACAATACATCAATGTCACAAGCAACCTAACTAAAAATATCGTGGCTCCTTTCGCAATCATAATTGACCAATTCCCTAGCAACTTAACTATCTTCCTTGGAGAAATCAGGCTCATCCGGCTTGAGTAGCTTTGGCATCTTTAAGCTGGAAGCAGCAGGCTCAACCCTTGTGACCTTTTGGACAAGCCCTCTTCTAGTATTTGCAGCAAACTTTGAAGCCAATATTGTAGCTCCCAAATGTGGGGCATTAGAGTCCATTATTGAACTGTCAGCACCACTAGTATAATCGTCACCTCCAAATTCATCACCATAGTTGCCCTCTTGGTCTGGAAATTGCATATAGAACAAGCTCTCTTGTTTCAGTAGCTCCCCAGCCTGTTTCTTCCTCATATACCGTCTCCATGCAGCTTGTATGAAGCAAGATCCCCATGTCCTCCATTGGTGTGAATAGTATCGGAAAGCATGCTGTAATTTTTTGCTATGAAGACGTTTAAACTGTTTTGCAACGAACTTGAGGTCTTCTGCCAGAAGTGCAAATGCTTCGACTTCTGTTAGTGATTTGACTGTTCGTGTTGAAGATGGGCGATTTAGGTTTGAAGTGGGCATCAATGCCCATGTAAGCAATTCTTCACCACAGAAGTCACCAGGTTTGAGAGTAATGGTGTTGAAGAAGCCATACCGTCCACCATTAGTTGTGTTGCTCTCAAGTTGGCCTCTTATAATGAAGAGCATTTCATTCACTGGATCACCTTCCCGAACAATGTACGTGTCTTTGGTGCTCAACGATGAAACAAGACGTTCACATATTGCGTCTAGGAGCTGATTATCCATTTCTGCGAAAAAAGGAACCTGGGAAACAGAATCGGCAGTTCCATAAACCGAATTTACAAGAAGGGAGTTTTTCAACAACCTCAGTATGCTAGGAAGCAATAACAAGGAGTTTATTGGTATCCAGTGTTGCAATATTTTCTTCTGAGGCGACATAATATGAATTGTTTAGCAACAGAAGCAGCCAGTGAAAGCCATGTACTACTGAAGTTGCACTAAAATGCAGCGCTGACGTTGACAAAATATATATGCTTTTATTATCTCAATGCTGGAAACAATACAAAGCAAGTTTTCTTATTGTCAAGTAGACATAAGAACTGCTTTACTCGAATATTAAAACGCTTTACTATCTATAAAAGAAATTAGGCATATTAGTAGAACTAAAATGAAATTTCAGATTTGCAAAACTTATTCTATTGTCCAAAGTGTTTTATCATTGCAAAAACATGCTCATTACGATTATGGTAAACAGAAAAGTGGACTTACACGGCGAACAAGGGCCAAGCAAAGATGCCGTTGAATTTGACGTCGGATGTCCAATGGTAAGGAATGTAAAATCTCTTTTTCATCCACTCCTCCTGTAGCTAGCCACTTATATTGGACAAACCGACGAACACGATCCTGCAGATCTGGAGGTAATTGACGGTGCCTCATCCATTCCTCTGTATCTCTTGATTTGACCCTCCATTCTTCAAGTCTTGCAGTTGTAGATTGCAGAGAGGTCTTCATATAACAGAACGAATCAAAATGATTTCAGACAAGAATCAGATTCATATCCATGTTCAATCGCAGTGCCATAACAGAAATTTTTTTAAGCAAACACAATCGGATTGTCAAGTACTAAAGTCATTAGTCATAGTCCAGGCTCGAACCACGGAACAAGAAGGATGAACTTTGTGTTTGAATACAACAATTTACATAATGCAGAGCAAAAGTTTATCAAGCTCAAAATATTTATCTTAAAAATATCAACCAATCTACATAGCAACAAATTAATTATTACTGGTATCAACTTTTCAAAGATGTTTTAATGCTCAATAAGTTATCTCCATGAGAAATGAAGGGAATTTAAAACATAATAAGACTGTTATATTGATAACTAGGCAAGCTTCAGTTCTTCCTTCATCCTCTTCACACATACACTTCTCAAGTCAACTAAACAAATGACAATATAGATCGAGTGTTGGAAGAAAATTGAAAGGTACAGATGCCATCTGATTGATTAATATTGATAGAAAAACTTATATATAGCAGCTGTCAGGATGCCAATGCTATGTGGCTAAAATATTAGACAATCAGAAAGCTTGTCTGCTAAATTAATGTAGTTAAAATGGAGATGTCGAAAACTAGTAGGCAAGAAGAAAGAGAGTCTTTGACTCAATGCACTTGTACGATGAGTGATGATGTAATTGAGGAAACAAAGAACGAGATCAGGTGAGATGTGCAGCAGAGAGCAGTAACAGCAAAAGACATAATTCCGATAAAAGCACGATGAGATCAAGAGGAAGGCCAAAAGAAGAATACATCTACGAAAAGACAAATGGCCCAAATCTTGACAGTACATAAGTCTCTTGATTCAACAGAATACAAGTAAGATAAAATCATGATGAGGTTTTATTGAGCTGAACCTCGAGAGAATAAAACTAGTAGAGCAATTGAAATCCAGAAATTGAGTAGGAAAGTAGGCAGAATAAAAATAAACAGCAACTATTTCTCAATGTTTAAATTCAATCACGTATAATCACATAATCCATGGGTGCAAATTAGCCTTTTTCTGATTTTCAGTATCTACACAAAGACAATACTTATATTTTTCAACAAATAGATATATGTAACCTGATGACATAAATAATAAATTAGATTAGTTTCCAAAGATACCAACTGTAAGTAAAATTCAACGTCCTCATGTTCCCAGATGGGGAGAATAAGTAAGGACTTAAATTCATAAATTTGGCATCAATGGTGTCTATCAACAATCAATTCCCTGTACATGTTCAGATTGGTCTTCAGCCTGCCAGAAAAATGTCAATTCTCTCTCTTTCACCTCTTTTCGAGTTCATCTATGTTTTCAATTTCACTGCATATAGATCACAAGTCACAACTATATTTGTTTAATGCAATTCTGCATCTTACAAATGGACAACCCTGTATTTATAGTCCATATTTCCCCTGTCAGTGATCCAAGAAGCGCCAAAGGGAAAAACTCATGGACTTCAGAGTTCAGACAACATAGGTTCAGCTTGTGGTAGGGGGTAGCACAGCAGAAGTTGATCAGGTATGCAAACCAGAACGACCTAATATGTCAATCTACTGTGTTAATAAAACAAATTCAGCTCAAAAGAAGCAGTATTTTTATCCAGATATGGGACAGCGAAAGATGATGGCTGCAAACTTACCAACAAATTTAGAAGAAGGGTACTTGGTAACTTGGCTAGAAAATCTTGGTTCCTTGTAAGACATGTTGATGTTGTACCAAGGTTGCCTATTTTGTACTAAAGCTAACAAGTCAGACTTGTCTTAGTAAAATTGGTATTTCGTCTCAAGGTTTGCTGGTCACTTTGAAGAACATCTACATGTCAGGGTGAACCACATTTACAAAGCGAATTACAAAATAAGATAAAGAATCATGCTGAATAATTTGTTAAAAAAAAGACATTTCAATAATTTTGGTCTAGAATCTGCATTGTAAGCTATCATCCACGTTAGTACACCCACTATTGTCATCTTAAAGCGAAAAAAATCGAAGTTGCCATAATTAAAGTTGGTAATTATCTCATGGTTGGTTTGTATTTCATTACACTTGGAGCCTCAAGACCCAAGTCAAACATCCACCCATAATGGTAATGTAATAAAATACAAATCATCACATTTTTGTATCCCTTACATAACAGTGTTGACTATACCTGCATGTCGCCAATCAGACGTGCGAACAAAACTAGGCCTGCGAGGCAAATAGTGCAGCTAAACAGCGTTTCTCCAATATAAGTACTTGTCACCAAAACCTGTCCATAGCTACTGCGTAACATAAAATGACTCAATGATAAACTGGTATTGACATTAGAGAAGGCATCTCAACAATATCAACTACCATGTGTTACAACCTAGTTAATAAAGAATAAAGAGGAAAGAAAATCAACACTTTGCAATTGAATCTACAAACTGAAAAAAAATAAAGGATACTATCATCATCAATGATGAAAATGCTAGTAGTAAGCAATTANCTAGTAGGCAAGAAGAAAGAGAGTCTTTGACTCAATGCACTTGTACGATGAGTGATGATGTAATTGAGGAAACAAAGAACGAGATCAGGTGAGATGTGCAGCAGAGAGCAATAACAGCAAAAGACATAATTCCGATAAAAGCACGATGAGATCAAGAGGAAGGCCAAAAGAAGAATACATCTACGAAAAGACAAATGGCCCAAATCTTGACAGTACATAAGTCTCTTGATTCAACAGAATACAAGTAAGATAAAATCATGATGAGGTTTTATTGAGCTGAACCTTGAGAGAATAAAACTAGTAGAGCAATTGAAATCCAGAAATTGAGTAGGAAAGTAGGCAGAATAAAAATAAACAGCAACTATTTCTCAATGTTTAAATTCAATCACGTATAATCACATAATCCATGGGTGCAAATTAGCCTTTTTCTGATTTTCAGTATCTACACAAAGACAATACTTATATTTTTCAACAAATAGATATATGTAACCTGATGACATAAATAATAAATTAGATTAGTTTCCAAAGATACCAACTGTAAGTAAAATTCAACGTCCTCATGTTCCCAGATGGGGAGAATAAGTAAGGACTTAAATTCATAAATTTGGCATCAATGGTGTCTATCAACAATCAATTCCCTGTACATGTTCAGATTGGTCTTCAGCCTGCCAGAAAAATGTCAATTCTCTCTCTTTCACCTCTTTTCGAGTTCATCTATGTTTTCAATTTCACTGCATATAGATCACAAGTCACAACTATATTTGTTTAATGCAATTCTGCATCTTACAAATGGACAACCCTGTATTTATAGTCCATATTTCCCCTGTCAGTGATCCAAGAAGCGCCAAAGGGAAAAACTCATGGACTTCAGAGTTCAGACAACATAGGTTCAGCTTGTGGTAGGGGGTAGCACAGCAGAAGTTGATCAGGTATGCAAACCAGAACGACCTAATATGTCAATCTACTGTGTTAATAAAACAAATTCAGCTCAAAAGAAGCAGTATTTTTATCCAGATATGGGACAGCGAAAGATGATGGCTGCAAACTTACCAACAAATTTAGAAGAAGGGTACTTGGTAACTTGGCTAGAAAATCTTGGTTCCTTGTAAGACATGTTGATGTTGTACCAAGGTTGCCTATTTTGTACTAAAGCTAACAAGTCAGACTTGTCTTAGTAAAATTGGTATTTCGTCTCAAGGTTTGCTGGTCACTTTGAAGAACATCTACATGTCAGGGTGAACCACATTTACAAAGCGAATTACAAAATAAGATAAAGAATCATGCTGAATAATTTGTTAAAAAAAAGACATTTCAATAATTTTGGTCTAGAATCTGCATTGTAAGCTATCATCCACGTTAGTACACCCACTATTGTCATCTTAAAGCGAAAAAAATCGAAGTTGCCATAATTAAAGTTGGTAATTATCTCATGGTTGGTTTGTATTTCATTACACTTGGAGCCTCAAGACCCAAGTCAAACATCCACCCATAATGGTAATGTAATAAAATACAAATCATCACATTTTTGTATCCCTTACATAACAGTGTTGACTATACCTGCATGTCGCCAATCAGACGTGCGAACAAAACTAGGCCTGCGAGGCAAATAGTGCAGCTAAACAGCGTTTCTCCAATATAAGTACTTGTCACCAAAACCTGTCCATAGCTACTGCGTAACATAAAATGACTCAATGATAAACTGGTATTGACATTAGAGAAGGCATCTCAACAATATCAACTACCATGTGTTACAACCTAGTTAATAAAGAATAAAGAGGAAAGAAAATCAACACTTTGCAATTGAATCTACAAACTGAAAAAAATAAAGGATACTATCATCATCAATGATGAAAATGCTAGTAGTAAGCAATTATATTAATTTCCACAATCAAGCACCCTTTCCGACGGAGAATTGAATACAGTACTGTTAAATATAGCATGAGATTAATAGTATTGATATTCAGTGCAACAATTAGGAACTCTGTGATGCAATAGCAAAGATATTCTCAGCAGTGGAATTCAGCATGGTTGACTGAGCTTCAAGAAGAGATGAGTATGATTGAGCATGAGAAAGCATCACATTTATTTTTGAGCTCTTTCAAAGCTTGAATCTTAAAGTGAGCATGATTGAGCTTATAGTCTTTGTCAAGAGAGAATAAGCAAAATTTAGAACATGATGTGATGATTAATTTATGGTGTGTTGCGAAACAACCTAGCGTCCGACCACAATTCAAATTAAGAAAGACTCATTTACTGAACATTTAAGTGGTATCCATAACAAGTACCAACCAAGTTGATACACCTTGTTTATTCTGTCTCTTTAAGCAAGGAGACAGTACAGTAAACCCCAAAAAGTAGACCAGATTACCAGGCACCCCCTTCAAAACATAGAGCTCCTGAGTTTGAATATCTCCCATGGATGGGGCCACCCCAAACAGACTTCTTTAGCGTACCGCCCTGTGGGTGGGTCATGTATCCAAGGGACTAGTCGGATGCTCCCCCTCCCTCGGACCCAACCCCAACCCAACAAAAAAGGAAGGCATTTCAGTCGGCCTTGGCTTGGCCAATCTGCTCCTCGGTCTCTTTCCTAAATTGACCTTTACATGGAACTGTGAGCAGTTGAGTGCGGAGAATGTTGGGCCTTTTGTGGAGTTTAGTTTGTGTGTTGATCCAGATGATGATCCGATCTAAAATAATGTTGTGTGATTTTTTTAATAAAAAATTTTTTAAGGCTTGGGCCATGGAGCGAAGAGGAAAATTTTTTGGGCCTGTTTTGTAGCCCAGTACGTAGGACATATAAAATCTGTTATTTTGGTGATTAGGATTTATGGTGTTTAGTACCGCCGCTCTCTGTATTCATCTCCCTCAATAGTGAAATTCATGCAGCTTCGTGGACGTAGGCAAATTGCCGAACCATTTAAAAATCTGTCTTATTCTTTCTTATTTCTTATTATTTTATGTTCTTGATTTGTTCTTCGATTATGTGAATTTGTTTGAAAGTTTAAAGCGTGTTAAATCCCAACAGAGAAAGATGGGTAATATTAGCTGGAGGTAACAGAATTTGGAAGAGGAGAGACTAGTGAAACCTGTAAGACTGTATCTAAGGAGACACTAATTAGGACTCCATTTTCTTCGAGAGTTATATTTGTCATTCAACTGGGCTGCTATAAAATGGTTCGTGGAATATCTCCAAGAATGAAGGATATTGAAATCAAGCCAAGAGTACAATAAACAACTTAAACAAGATTGGCTAGACGTTAATTAATTGCAATAAAGCATGACATACCTTAAACTCCTCATACCCCACCAAAGACAGTAGAAATATTTATCAAAGAATTTTGCTGGCGCAACTTCATCAGTGAAGGCATTAGCAAACATCCCATACTCAAAGCCAGTGGGATTGTCTGAAGCATCACAATTAGTAAGCACCTTTGAGATTTTCAACCAAGATCGACGTTCAGGGTTTTCTGAATTTCCACAATCGAGGAACTGAGAACTACAAGATGGAGAGTGTGTGTTATTCCGCTCCTTTATACATTCCAGCCTCCAACATGAGTACTGCCGATCAATGGCAAATAGATACCATAAAGATCCTAAAATCTGTGCAAAATAATTATAAGGGTTAATTTTCAAAGTTGTTCTCATTCTCTACTTTTACAGTGGAAAGGACTGATGGAATTTTAAATATGTAACCATCACATTTGAAGAGTCGGAAAATAAATCATACAGTAACCCCAAAAACATACTTGACGGTTCACTTACATGACTAGCTAGCATATAGAGGATAAGATTGTACATGGCTCCTGCCCATGCACTCTTGGCCACAACCCCAGTAGTTTTAAGAATTCGCTGGTACAAAGGAAAGATGACAAAAAACCTGGGAACATACTGAACAAAAATAGCCAGAGAAATGCTGTGCTTAGCGTGAGCAGCTGTACTACTTTGCACGGCTGGAATTATAAACCAGATGACAATCTGCCAAAACCAAACAGAAAAAAAGGAAATATTGTAAACTTATATTCGATAGTACTTAAATAACATTTTCCAAACAGAAAAAAAAGGGAGAAAATGAATAAGAAGAACAAGCAAGAGAGAAGACTTTAAGCTTATGTGTATGTAACTTATAAGTCAAATATAAAAGGTATAGAAGCCCCATGGCTATGCTTTTCCGGCAGAAACAATTCTAATTTACCAGAACGAGTAAATCAAGACAAGTTTGGTTACAAATACAAGCTGTATGACCAAAATAACAAAATTGAAAAAAAAAAAAATACACCAATATAAAACATGCAAATTCATAAAAGTTAGCAGTCAACCCAAGTTATGCTGCAGAACAAAGGTCAGAAGATATTAATAAGTGGGCAAATATATTGCATTGAATTAGCCATTAATAGGAAGGATAATAGAAAGGTTTTAATAACAAAACGGAATGGAAGGATTGAAGTTGAGAAAGGTTTTAGATAGATATGGTATTCCTGTAAATCCGGCAGCCGAAATTCCTAACATATTGATGCTTTAATGTATATAGTGGTAGCAGTCAGGAAACAACATCTTAGTTAAAAAAAATATCGTTGAACTGGATTGCAAAGATGGATAGGTTGCACAACAATAGAAGAAAGAATTGAAATGGGAGCATAAGGCAACAAAATGAGATAAGGTTAGAAAAGATCTTTGATTAGTTGTGACTTGTGTGACAACCAATGATTGTATCAACTCAAGCACACAGATGAATAAAGGGACCAAAAAGTTATTAAAACTTGAGCACATCATTACAGCCCAACAAATTAGACAAAAGACTTCTTTTCTTTTTCTTTTTTATTTTATCAATAGCATTAGTAGTAAGTCACATACCCAATCCTCTTTTGCCTATGTACAAACACTACTATGATGGAACAACATTGGCTTGAAATTTTTTGTAACAAACCAAATTAACATGTCTCATTGAGGGAATGCCGTAACCTGGTACACAATGAGATTCTTCTCAACCTTCTAGATATGTTTGATAATCGAATTGACATCATGAAATAACCACAAGCAATTAGCTAGAGTGGTAGCTCCTACCACCCTCAAAGGAGTTGCAAGCTTGATGTCATGGGTGACACAAGGGTGCAGGCATGTTGCTTTGAAGACAAAATGATTACACATTGTTCATGCTTACATATACATGATTAAAACCCAAGATTACATGCAATTTCTCAAGTACCCCTTAAATTTGTTCATTCTGCTGAACCTCGAGTATTTACAAAAAAAAGTACTTCGGAAAATTAAGACAGTTAAACCATCAAAAACAAAGTAAAAAAGATCAACAATAGTAGAACACGCATTTGAAGAACAAAATGGTTACAGATTCCTGCAGCAATTGACACTAAAGAAAATTCAATGGCGAATTGAGGGCGAATAAACTTTACAGAGTAAATAAGACGACTTACTTGTGGGAGAGGAAGTGATGCAACTAGATCAACCACAAAATCCGACTTCAAATAGTGCATTGCGATCTTCCTGTGATCCATCACGAGCTCACCCCTCCCGAAAACCCGAGAGCTTGGAGCCACATATGCGGTCCGGAACTTCATTGCCATGTGCAAAAAGGAGAACAAATCAACGATGCATCGCAAGGCAGTCACGGTGACGCCCAAAGGGATGTCCATACTCATGCAAGGGTCGTGGCTGTTTCGACCGATCTGGGGGAGGAGAAAGTAGAGAGGATCGACGAAGAGAGCGACGAGACAGGTGAAAAGGAAGATGTGGTTCCATTTGTTGACGAACTCGCTTCCAGGGTCAAGAATTTGTTGCCACCACGGCTTTTGCCGATCGTAGATGAGCGAGGAGGGTTTGGCGAGGTTGAGGAGTTTGGTGGAGCTAGAGAGATGGAAGTTATTCATATTCCAAGGGAGGAAGAGAGAGTTTCATGGAAAACTCTTGGAGAGAGAAGAAAGCTACCATGTGAGAGAAAAGGAGGGTTTGCAGACATGAGAGAGAGAGAGAAGCTAACGATGAGTTGTGAGAAGATGCAGGGTTTGCTGAGTGTGTGAATGGCCGTGAAGTTCGTTAGAGCGGCGCGCGAAATGTGGTTTTAAAACAATTAACGGTTGGAATTGGATGGGCTGTTTGTCGATAAATTTAAATGAGTAATGCTATACCGATTAAATTTTGAAATTAAATTTGGAGTTCAAATGACATGACAGTTGATTATTTGATATTTTTATTAGGGCCCAAATGACACCACACCATTCAAAGAAATCAAAGTCAACTATCATGTCATTTGAACTCTAAATTTGATCCAAAAATTTGATTAGTCTAGCATTACTGAATTTAAATATTTTCTTTTTTTCACTCGAGCACCCATAATATATATATATGCATATTTTAAATATATTTTGCTTAACATCGCACTTAGGGGTGCAACTTGGACGGATTAACCCGATTTTAACCCAAGTCCAATCCAAAAAAATTAGGGCTTGGGTTAAAATATTTAATACTTGGATTGGACTTGAGTCAAAAAACTCTAATTCGAATTTAATTTAGACAAGCCTAGGGTTCCAGGGTTAAATCTGAATATTAAAATTGGGTTCAACCCGATTTAATATTTGGGTTGAACCTGAATATTTATGACCATATAAATACATTTTTAAGTCTAGGGTTAATCTGTTTTAAAGCTTTCATTGTGCGTCTCTCTCACTCACATTTGGAGTTCAAATGACATGACAATTGATTATTTGATATTTTTATTAGGGCCCAAATGACATCACACCATTCAAAGAAATCAAAGTCAACTATCATGTCATTTTTATTAGGGCTTGGGTTAAAATATTTAATACTTGGATTGGACTTGAGTCAAAAAACTCTAATTCGAATTCAATTTAGACAAGCCTAGGGTTCCAGGGTTAAATCTTAATATTAAAATTGGGTTCAACCCGATTTAATATTTGGGTTGAACCCGAATATTTATGACCATATAAATATATTTTTAAGTTTAGGGTTAATTTGTTTTAAAGTTTTCATTGTGCGCCTCCATTACTCACTATTTAAGTAGTGAACTCTATGTTGTACAAGGATTCTGATTGAGTTTATTTGTGTTCTGTATGATTGTAATTGCATTATCTCAAATATTAAGTTCTTAATATTATAGTTTTTATGTTAAAAATTTGATTGAAGTTGTTGGTTGTTAATTTAAGTGAATAGAATGTAATATATGTATCAGATTTAGAACAACAAGTCTATTTTGATCTCAATTCGAATTGAACCCGTAAAACAACCCGAAATCATTAATTCGAATTCAACCCGAGCCTGCACGAATTAAACTTGGACAGTGTTCGAGTTGAGTCCCCGAGGTAGGGTTAGGGTTAAAGTTGAAGATTATATACTTAAGATTGAGTTAGAATTGACTGTCCAATTCGGCCGAACCCCTAATCGTACGAATAAATTAGGACTGAGCCACCCTACGTTAGCTAGGCATCGGTGTTGATTTAATTTAACTACAAAAAAAATTAGTTTGATGATATTCTTACACTTATTTTATAAAGGAAAAATTTTATTCACACTACAGTGACATTCTTTTTCGATTCTGAAATTTTACTGACACTCCTGTCAGTCTTGGTCGAGTAACGAACGTGACGAAAAAATCTCTTTTATCATTTCACCCTTAACTTTATGTTTCTTTTACTATTTTAGCCTTAACTTTATATATATATATATAAACAGAGAAACCACCCCTTCACCACCATTCCGTATCCATTCTCACCTCCTCTGCCACAGTCGCCCATCCGTAATGTCATTCTACACCCTCCTCACATCTCCCCCCCTCTCTTTCTATCCTTCTCCCTCTCTCTCTCTCTCTAGCAAAACCGTGTTGAGATAGGAGCCAAAAAGGTCAAATTGAATTGAGTGTTTTATAATGGATGTTGATGCAAGGGTTATGGTGGTGGTGGTGGACATGTGAAATCTGGTAGTTGATGGTGCGTGTGCGTGCAAGTTGTGGGAGTAGTTGATGTCAAGTGAGTTTGGGACAGATTGGGCATGGGTGGGGGGCTGAGTGGAGGTTGATCTCTTTCTCCCTCTCTCTCTCTCTCCAGCAAACCCCTTACAACCGTGTTGAGATAGGAGCAAAAAAAGATCAAATTGATTTAGGGGTTTTGTAATGGGTGTTGATGCAAGGTTTGTGGTGGTAGTGGGTATGTGAAAATTGGTAGTCGACGGTGTGTGTGCGTGCACGTTGTGGGAGTGGTTGATGTCATGTGGGTTTTGGGCATGGGTTGTGGGGATGACTAGAGGCTGAACTCTCTTTCTTTCTCGGCAGCGTATAAATGGGTGGGAGTGATGTGCGAAAACAACTAGGTGGTTTGTCCCTAATTTGCTTGCTTGTTTGATGAATTTGTTGAATTGAGTGCTTGCTACTGAATATTGGGTTGCTGTTGCATGTGGTGTATTTGCTTTAGCTGGTCTATGATGGTGCCGAAATGGTGGTGGTTTTGTGGAGACAATGGTGCATTGGAAGAAAAAAGGGGTGGGGGTGTTTTCTTCAAATACTTTGGTCTATCCATTTAATGTATGAATTAGTTTGATTTGTCTGTTGATCCTAAATTAAATCTATCTGCATGAAAGAAAAAATTGAGTAAAAAAATACATGAACAAATATTAAAAAAAAATTGCACGAAAAAATTTAAAATATTTGCATAAAAAAATTAAAAAATTAGCTGACTGAAAATTTAAAAAAAAAATTGCATAAAAAATATATATACAAATCTGTAAGACAAAAAATATTTACCAACTTTTGTACTGAACAATCAATGATCAATATAGAGAACAACTTTCATCCAACCTCACGAGGTGTATATATATATATATATATAGGGAAAGAGGTTGAAGTTATTTTAGTACATTTATATAAGAAGGGATAGTTTGGACATTTTTAAAAAATTTGAAGACCGTTCTTTTATTCACCATCACTAATAAACTTTATAATATAGAGGGGTTTTTGATTTAAAAGTGTAAACCCAAAAAGAGTGAAATTCAGAATGAATAGAGAGTGTCTTTGAATTTATGCCTAACTATAAGAGGTGTTGATAAAATTTTCCCTTTAATAAATTTAGTCAAACAACATTCGACTCAATTCGAATAAGTTACTCTGATCTTAAAAGATGAACCTATAATATATACTTCCCTTTTCTGCATTTTGAAGAATGTGGGTTCTAGAGTTTAATTCATAATTGATTGTATAATTTTTCAGACTCAAAGTTTAACTCAAATACTCACAAGTGTCTGCCAACAAGCTACGACCGCACTTGGATCAACCCATATGATTAATTTGACATTATGAATGTGATTAGTTTCAAATCTGTCTGTTCTCTCTTTAGATATCATCATGTCAATACAATACCAAAATACCTATGCTACAACGGCTTCGACCACTCACATGGCTATTTTGTATTTCCAAACACACACTCAACAAAAAAATAAAAGCAAGAAACCGAGACAAAGGAAACTTGGCCATAACTAAAATCCCTCACTAACTCAAAGCTTGGCAATCCTGGAATAAAGGATTGCCAGTCCACCCAAATGCTTCTTGTTAAAGCCATTGAGCTTAGCTAATGCACTGAACTACTGGATTTTCTCAGGGAGAAATGAAATTTCCCATTGCAGATCTGTTAGTGCATCCTCACAAGCAGAGCTAGTAAAACAATATATCAGTTATGTTAGAGTGGTGCCTAACATAAATGTTTGCACTCAGTATCTAATAACACTCCAATGCCAGATGTAAAATTGGGGCCAGGATGAGGGGCGAAGGAAAGAAGCATACAATGCAGTGGAGGGATCATGCTCAAATGAAGCATGAAAGCTTGATTCTGAAAAATGTCTAATGGCAAAACCCTGAATTCTTCTGCTCTTGTTCACCGGTGGTGAGGATGCATGGAGAACGAAGAGCATTAATGCTGTGTCGCTTTAAGAGTAGAACTTTTAAAGTGGTAGTTGCTCTGCAGTGTCTTTTGAGTTCATGGACATGATACACAAGCAGTGAGGAAGGAAAAAATAAATGCCTAGAAAAACAAGAACACCAAGATCAGCCTCTTCACCAACTGGTGGCCGACGAGGACTAACCAAGTAGATCTGGCTTGCACACCATAAGCAATACAAACTTGCAATTATCACAGTCAATCTCATAGATTGGTGTGATTGTTTCCTAAGCGACTTCAAGGCCTTCACTCTGCAGAGGAAAAAAAAAACAGTAGTTGAACTAGTTAATGAACATGCCCCAACTAAAATTAAACCCAAAGAAAATTTACATTCATGGCTGAATAACACCTGTTGATGTAAATGAAACTACCAATTAAGCATATGCATAGAAAGCCAATTACAACAACAGCATCTGGATAGACTGGAGCCCGGCTTTCCCACCAACCAGTGCTCAATATCCACTTATACATAGAAGACTGCCCATTTTCCTGTAAATTTACAGAGGAGAATAAGGTTACTGAAACACGTATGCTCATAAACAGTCAAAAGAGATATTGTAAGAATTCGGTGAGACTTATGAGGGAGAGACAAGAGAGGGCAGAGATATCGCTGGTGACAGAGAGAGAGAGAGAGGAGAAGAAGATAGATAAGGGGTGGGTTGTCTGACGGGGCACGTGAGGACAATTTTTTTTGGAGATGGATTGTGCATCATTGGATGAAATTAGGATTGATCTCAATTGTGTTGTGCTTTTCTAAGTTGGGATTCCAAAATAGGCTCTGTTTTATTATATAGATTTGTGACACGTCAAAAATAATATCAAAAACTTTCAAAATTAAACCTAAAAAACCTTATTTTTTTCCTCTCGTCATCACCAATTTCCTTTTTGTTATCTGCCTTGCTTATGAAAAAGATAACTAGAGAATCCAGGAAGATCAGCTCAGCCATTTCCGAGTTGGTGCAAGCTGTTTTGTATCTCTGACTTCCGGTTTTTGCTTGTTTTGAAACAGTCAATAGACTCCGCTGAACTGCTGCCATTTCTCTCTTTTCCTGTATCTAACTCTTATTTATCCATAAGAAACAATGGGTTTCTAGAAATTTGCATCCTATTTCCATAAGTTCCTTCTTTCCCTCATTCCCAGCCAACTTACTGCTACAATATAAACAAATCTCTGCATATGCCACACTAACTCCAAGACTTCACTTATGCCCTCCACATGCACTCCCATCCATTCACTTCCAAAAAAGGTCAAAATACATTTATCTGTCATGGCTGGATCTCTTCATTCTTTTTCATTTCTATTTTATTTTTTTGGCCGCATTTTGTACCTCAGTCTCTGCTTGTTCAAGGTACCTGTGAGCCAACCTAAACTATCCTAATTCCGACAAACATTCTTCACTCTGATTTTTCTCAAACTATCTGTTTTTTTTTTGATCACTTTTTTTTGGGAAGGGAGAGGGGAAGGAGACTTGAATCCTTGATCTCAAACTCTCTGTTGGCATCAACTGTTCTGACAATTAAACGCTGCTGCCTTTTTTCTTTTTCTTTCCTTCTAGGTAGATGATATTAAGCACAACCTCTACAAAATGTGCTCAAGTTTGGCTCGTTTAATTGAGCCAATCTCAAACAAGCTTTTGACGAGGCCAAATAGCTTTATCCCTATTAAAAAGTTAGCAGGAAACAGAAGTTAATCGGTTCTAAAACTTTCGATTCTTCATCTTTCTATTGCTGCTATGAACAGAAATAACTTAAACCTCTCAAATCTGACACAACCATCCAGAATCTGAGACAATATTTTGATAAATCACTCCCCCATTTCTCAACCAACTCAGCCTATACTATGCTAAAAATTTACAAAACAGAGGTAAATACTGAAGTTAACAAGAAGCAATAATTTTGTTAATCAACAACTGAAGATTACCTCAAACAAGTGGTCCAAGAAAAAGTGAGATAAAGAACCAGCAGATACTAACATCAAGCACTGACTCCTAGTAAGGGGCACCTGCACCATAAACCCTAGCAATCAGTGATAAAAAACACAAACCAACCAGACCTACACATACAATTACTGAGAATGTGCACACTGACCCCAGAAATGGAATCGAGAAACCCTTTTCGGAGGAGAATTTTAGAACCCCAACTGTAGAGCACGGACAATGGAAACCCTAAAATGAGGACGAAGTAGAACGGGTGGTGAACCCAAGTCTCGACTGCGGAGCCGAAGGAGTGACCGAGGCCGAGGGTGGAGGTGAGCCACTCGGAGAAGGAGCCGAGGTCGGGGCCGAAGAAGGCGTTGACGGCGTAGGTGACGCAGTGGTGAGGGCCGAACCGGCCGTTGGAGACGCTCATCAGGGCTTGGCCCGAGCCCAGAGCATACATCATGTGTGGACCTGGGCCTGGCATTGCGGCAGCGGTGTATTGCGCACCCTCACCTCCTCACCATGAGTCGTCTTCTTGCTTGTGATGCTGTCTGGAGAGAGAAAGGAGGGAGATGAGTTTGGACAAAGGTCTGTTTGTGTTGTTTGATTTGGACAAGAAGAGTTTACCATTTCCATTGACCGAGTTTGGTCCCAACGATCAACTCACGATCGCTTCAACAATTAAAATATATTAAATTCAAATAATATTTATTTTTCTTAATAACACATTAGCTACTTAATATTGGGAGAAAATATTGGGCGTAAGTAAGATGTTAATAGGGTACAATTGCCTAATAATAAGACGATATATAAAAAACTAGATTCCACATGAGAGATACATGTAAGTGAGAATAGACTCATCAGTTGGTCTATGTTTTTGAGTCTGCGTGTCAAAATATGATTAGTTCTTAAATAACGATTAGAGGGCATGATTCCTTTTTATAATTATTTTTTTATTTTTTGAATAAAATCAGTGAGTTTTATTCATGTTTGAACATTGGGAAAAAAAAAAAAACCGAACTCTGTGGCTTGCTCATGCCATACCAATCGCATTATCTATAAAATTGGAATATTTGATAAGCTAGTTGTTATCCGATTTCTTTGTGATCCGATTTCCTTGTCATCGAGTGATGGTCAACTCATACACTCTAAATCTTTGAAGTTCATTAACAATTTCGGCTACTGTAGGACCCATAGAAGAGAACCCTTGCAGCCATTCGTTTCGAGAGCCTCGCCACAGCTTCCAATCTCATTCTTGATGACACTCCCACACCCAAGGTCTAAAATTTAGGAGGAGGTTCATGTAATGCATTACTCTCTGATGGTGGAGAGTAATCCATAGGTGGATGGAGATTCATGTAATGCATTACTCTTTTATGGTGCTCGAAATCTACTTAACTATCGGTGAATATTCGTTCGTTAGGGTTGTTAGGTATTATCCCCTTGTCTCTTGTACACGTGTCGCGGTACAGTCATTTATGATTTGTTTGGTGCTAAGCTCCCATCTCCTGAGCAGATACTATTACCAAGCTTATTAACACTGAGCTAGCGTCGATTTTGAGTTGAATTATCTTGGACTTTCATGGGACTGGGCTACGGTCCAACTTAGGCCTGGTGAATGCTATCTTGATAAGGCGTCTAAGTTGTCTTGCGCGAGCCAAAAAGGGTTTTGGGCTAAGAAAAGAGGTCTAGACATAAATCTATCATCATCAGTTGCCCCAACCCTAAGTTAGGAGGTTGACCTTCCAACTCTATTATGGGGTTAAAATCATCTTTTTCGTCGCAATGATTACTTTTGTTGATGATGGTTTCTCATGATTATAAGTATTGTCCTAGTGGCGTATTCATTTTCCCCATATTTGCTCCGATGCAGGAGATGTGCTAGGAAAGGACACGCATCGATTGGAGATGGCTATTCCTGTACGACTCCTCCTGTGCGTCTTTTCGCACGTCTCATCGTGGTAATAAATGTTATAAAATGGGATAATTACCTTGCCTTTTTACTGATATTTCAAATTCCAATCTTTTCACACTCCTTTTTTCCTCTTCTAGACTCTAAGGCGGCCGTTTCATGTTCCTAGTGGTTTTGAAAGTTATGGGCCTTTGTTCTTTTACGAATTGACCTTATTAGGTATGTCCTTGTCTCTAGATCATAAAATTTTTAAAAATTCTTTAAAAAAAAATTAGGGCCCTAGACTTCAACCTAATTTTTTTATCTCACCTGATGTTTATATTATATTATATATATATAGATTATTACTTTGTTGTCTTATTATTAAAACCAATTGTCTATCGTATAATAAGTATGAATAATGATTTTACATTTTTATAAGATAAATTTGACGCCATTTTTTGATTAATTTGTTTATAATGTATAGAATGACTATAAAATAGAGTAAGTAGAAGTAGTGCATTATCTGAAATTAATTAGTCATAGTTGTCTTACTAAATGTTTTCATTTAAACATAATACTCTCACTCTACAATCTTGTAATGTCTCATTTATTTTAGGACCACTCAACTTTTATAAATTCTTATTTTTATATTCATTGAGAGAAAAATCATTTTATTAGTTAAAATAATTTTTAATTATATTTTTTATCTTAAGCAAATAGCATGTATCATTACATTTGATCTTCGAATTTGACTTCAATTAACGTAATTTTTATTTGCAAAATTCGTATTGTATCTAAAAAAAATATAAAACAAATAATTTTTAAATAAACAAATTTTAATATTTTGATAATTATTTAATACTAATATTATTACTGAATAAATATTACTAGGACCTCAAATAACATTTTCGCATAGGGACCCTAGTTGGGTTGGGTTGGGTTACCCCTAATTCGAATTCAGAATGTTTAGGGTTACAGTCTATCTCTGTTATCACTTGAACTACGTTAGGATTAAAATATGATGATGCTTGGATTTAGAATACGAGCCGGGTGCTTGAATTGAAAAGCTCAAGACTTGGTGGTACCGTTTTCGGTGATTGTGTGAAGGTTGGTGGTTGATTCGTGATGGAGCCAGGAGACTCCTAATAAGCATTCAAATGAAACATAGGAAAGGGTTAAGTTAGGGATACTAGAGAGCACATGAATTATAGTGGTTCATCAACTATAGAACTTAGCTAGTTCACTCTAATAGAGTCTCTTATTCCCGAAAATTCTATATATTTCTTAGAGAAGAAGGATTAATTACAAAGTTTCTCTCATATGTCCTCTCTCATATAAGGGTCTTGGTATTTTATATGTGATAATGTTGTCACTATCGAGTGGTCCTCTAATTTGTTAGAAAAGTTGAGGGAATATTTGAACCACTTAAGTCTATATATTTCTTAGGTCGTGAAAGACTACATTCTATAGGAGTGACGTGGTTTTCTAGAACATGTTGTGGTGATATAATGACCTGTTTTCCAGCCTAGATATGTGATGATCTCATATGCCTCTGGCGGAGTCTGCCATCTATTGTGTATGCTTTGGGGTGAGCTCTCTTATTGAGGATAGCTCGTATAAAGAGGTTGGCTCAGTCAGTTGTCCTGATCTTATAATGTTAATCCTCTTCAGAGTTTCTATAGAGCGACCTGAACGATTCTCCTTGAGGTCATCATGGACCATCCCAGGCTTCTTACCTTGAGTAATTTTCACTATACAGTTTCGTGATAGTCCAATTACTTTAACTAAATTGCCATTCTCTGAGGGTGCCATTTTCTAAGTATCATCAGAAGATATTATTTTTGTCACTCCATTTGTTCATGGAGGTGATTATTCGATGCGAGTAGGATGCTGGAACAACATGTGTCACAAGAGTCCGACCTAAAAAACCTGGATATTTGTCTTGTGGTTCCCTCAAGAAATGAGGTAGGAAGGACCCCTTCAATATAAAACTTTTCATAAGAGACGCTATACTTCATAGCTGGGGACACTGCCAGTGGAGCGTGTCTGTGAGTGAAGGAGTTGAACTACCCTTTACTAAAAAACAGAGGTTGATTCCTCACAAACCAGCGGTGTCAACTCAACGAGTATCAATCAAGTTATGTCCTGTTTGGTAGATAAAAAAATAGAAAGATCAAAATTTAGAAATAGACAAAATATTATGTTTGGCAGTATCAAAAAAAAAAGGGTGGGCTTAGGCTTCAAATTTTTGAAAGGCCCTGTAATTTTAAATACATAACTAATCTATATAAAAAATTTAAATTCATGAAAATTTTAGGCCTTACAAAAAGTCTCTAAAAAATTTAAGCTCAATCAAAAAATTATAATTTCAATAATTTGAGCCTACAATTCAATTCACAGCATTAAAAACTCAAAAATTAAAAATTTAGAAAACAAATAAATTTTTTTTTAAAAGTCAACTCATATTTATTCACATTCATTCTTTCTCTCTTAAAAAACAAAAAATAAAGTATCACCCTCTTCTCTCACTTAAAAAAAATAAAAAATATTTTTTATTTTTTTAAAAATAATACTAAAAATAAAAAAGTCTCATTTATTATTACTATTTTAGGCCTCAAATTATCTTGAGCCGTTCGTGATCTCAAACATAAAAAAAGAAAAATATATCATTCATATTTTCCTTCTTTAGAAAATAAAATATACATCCTTCTTATTTTTTATTTCTCTTATTTTTCATTTTTCTGCTAAAGGAAACATTAGATTTTCTAGCCCAACGAATTCTGAATTCCTAAGCTTACTCAGATTGGTATCATTTGCTTGCCTACCACATAAAAAAAGAAGATAAATATTCCTGCGGGAGCCATCTAAATACAGATCAATACTAAGAATTTGTCTCATTTCAATTATTGTTTACATAATGGAAACCACCAAACTACACAAATGATAATCCAAGCCTGTTTTTCGACCCAAAAAAAAATAAAAAATCCTATGCCTCACAATTCTAAGGATGACGAGGAAACAAAACATAAAATTAGCACAAAATTAATAAAGTTGAACTTAATATTAATGCATTTAAGAGATAAATTTATAAAATTATTAAACTCATCAAATAAATGAATCGGCACAAAAAAAATCTATTAACTATTGACTTATACATGGCAAGTTTGATACTATACAAATTTCACTATATATAGATATAATAATTTAAATATAAATAATTTAATATGACAAAGTCCATGGATTGTTGTATTCTCAATTTAATCTCACAACGGCTCTTTTTATATAAGCCAATAATTATTCTCATACAAAAAAATAAAATTTATCAAGTTTATTTAATGTTTTATTATTAGATAATAATTTCACATGACAATATAAACGTGATATGACCATTACATTAAAAATTTATTTAGCTTTCAAGGCGTCGTATGGTAACATCAAGTAATCGGCGTTTCCCGTTCATCGTTCACCCCTCTCTTTCTCTCCGTTATTTCCTAAACTTTCTATGTCGGGTGAATTAAATTGTATATATTGAAAATTTTAAAAAATATATATTTTTTTAAATTTTAAAAATTAAATTTCTCACATTATATTTTTTACTTATTAAAAATATTATTGTTAATGCTCCGTTTGGTATGATAGAAAAATGGAATGATAGAAAGTTAAAAGAATAAATAAAATATTATGTTTGGTAAGGAAGAATGAAAAAGCGGATGAATTAACTTTCT